AAATAATTATTTTTTGCTCAAAAATAATTATTTACAACACAAACATTCATTAAATAAACTCACTCCATTTTGTCATCTTGAATAGAAGGCATTCTGGAGGAATCATTGTCCGAAAAGTAAACTTCGGGCCCTCCTCCCACCGCTTGAGAATCTATTTCCGACCTCGATAACAAAGCTTCTAGAGCCATCTGTACATTACCGTAATGATTAATTGTTGTTTCTGCTTGCTGCTTTGAAAATCCCATTTCCTGTTTAGAATAGAATCAGTCAACAACATACTATTATTCATCAAAGTAACTCTTGTTTAAATAACAAATTTACATTTTTGTAATAAAGAAAATCTGGTACAGTCATATTTCTGTTTAAAATATAGTTTAATATTTTCATTATTTTATCATTTATAAATACAATTCAATGAAGTTTACCACTGCTAAATATAACAATGATTTATGTAAATTATAAAATTTTAAAATACTAACAAAATCACAAGAAAACCTTGTAATGGCTACTATTAATAATCAGTAAAAGCAATTTGGTCTAAAGGTAAGCAATTAGGCTTCCAACTTAAACTGAATTTAATAGTTTAGGATATTAGTAGGATTATCCCAGAGTGAGACTTAAAATCCCAGGAGTTGTGTGCTCAAATCTTACTCTGGATTGATCTTCTCTTCCAGAATATTGTAATTTTTCAATTTAGTACAATGGCCTAAATTAATATTTAGTACATGTCCTGTTATATATTTCGCTTCTGTACTTGCTAAAAACAAGACTCTGGCTGCTATTTCTTCTCCTTTTCCCATTCTTTTCATTGGAATATTATCTAATATTTTTCCCTACCTTTAGACCAAATTGCTTTTAACCAAATTAACAGCAGCCACAAAACAAAATTACTGTACTAGTTAATGATATGGTAATTATAAAAGGGGATTGTATTTTAGATGAGCTACTAGCTTCTAGATAACTAAACCGAATTAATTAATGCATTTTAAACAGTAGGTGAAGCTGAAATAAAGCTAATGTTTTTGACCCATCCTCAGATGAGTACAGTCAAAACTGGAATGCTGGTGTCAGAAGAAAGGATGAAGGATTATATTCCGATAAAGTAATCAAGCACAGGAGGTGGGCTTTGACGTGAAAGAGATATTGCCAGAGGGAAGGGAATTCTTGTCATAGTTGTTTATACATATGTTGGTAATAGAGTAGTTATAAAGAGTATGCTCAATAAGAGTTTGATTGAAAGATCTTGAGATATATCCAACATATTTTGCATTAATGCCTGTCTTAGATTTTTGATTTTTAAAATTTATGATTTAAATGGATAAAATGTATCCATTTTTCATCTACAGGGTTTCCATCATTCTTTAGGAGGTAATATAAAGTTGGATTGCATTGGTAGGCTATGCATTTATGGTAGGCTGTTATTCTGAGTGACAGATTTGAACATAGATTGAAGGATTTTGGAGTATGTGAATATGGAGAAGGGAATAAGGTCACATTTGGATATATTTTGTTCAATGTTCAAAGTTCTCAATGAGGTAGATGTTTAATCTCTAAAGGTTATTTTACAGTGCAAGATAAACGATCCTGTTTAGTTCTGTTTTCTGATTTGTGATCTTGGAGCAGTGAGTGTAGATATGCTTGGTGGAAGGCTGAAATTTTAAGTGAAGGAATGAAAAGAAGAAAATGAAGATATAGAACAGTAGGAAGGTTGGTTTTGGGTAAGCTTTAGTGTGGATTCATCTATATGTAAGTGAAAGATTGATGTCTAGAAAATTAACATTGTCTGCACTTATCTAATCCATTTCTAGGGTTAGAAACAGGAATTATTCATTAAATGAAGGAAAATATCTAAGTCAAACTTGCATTTCCAAATAAAGAAGACATCATCACATGGCATCATTATTATAAATGCTATAAATGCCCTCTATCCTATCACTATCTCCTTGTCTTTCTTTCTGACATTAGCATTCCACTTTCAACTGTCCATGCCTGGGGATGGCACATTAATCAGATCAAAAATATAAGATTTCTTTTAGCTTCATCCACTGTTAAAGATAGCATTATAATTCAGTCAATTTAGATTTTATTTATTGAAATTTACTAAAAGTTGCTAGACACACAGTGATCAGTTGTGTAGTTTTTTGTATGTTCAATTTGTTTCTTCCTGGACTTTGTCATTCTGCATCAGTGTTTCCAAACTTAAAATACTTGTTTGATCAAATCTTGAGGAATCGTTTTTTTCTTTAGGTCAGCCATGTGCATCTTTACACAGAAATTTTTCTGAGGTAGCCAAACCCAAAAAAGTCAACTATCATTATGAGACTTGGTATCTTTGGTTTCATATAACTGATTCCAATTTTATTCCCCATCTGTTGGAGATATGTTTGAGCTAAGATGCATGTTATGAGATATTCAAGAGATGATAATCTCATAAGTATCTCACTTATGATAATTTTGAGATGGACAAAGTCACATTTAACTTTGTCCATCTCATGAGATTATGATTTTAGTACATATTTGGAGTGGTTTCAGTTTGGTTTGGTTTATTTGTGCATAGAAACACAACATGGGATGTCTGCTGAGGAGAATGCCTCCTGGGCAGACTTTCTATGGGAAACTGGCCCCTATTTAGATGTTACAAACATGAATAAAACCTGGAAAATGCCACGTGGCCAGCCCATCGGCAAGGCACAAATCCATGACCAACTACCAGCGTTCAGTGATTTTATCCACTCGACCACTGGTGAGAAAGTGGCTTTAAGAGATGGTCATGTTATAGTTCTCCGTTAAGTTTGATCTTAGGAGTAACTTTGATAAGTGGTAAGACTGCATCCAATTATTATTCTAACTACAATAAAGGCCATAAGCCAACATTCACTGTAGTATGAATTCATGTTTGAGTGGTTGTTCTCCAGATTTAATGTAACAAATTTTCCTTTTGCAATTTCTGATACAAACTGTGCCTTGTCTAACTAAATGAGATATTGTCATCAATCAGCTGCAGAATTTTTTCATGTAACTTTCTGCAATCTGTGTGAAAAAAAGCAAATGAAATTTGGAACAAGATTACTGAATAATTGATCAAACAAGCATTTCAACATTGAAAACAGCAATGCAGAATAATAAGCAAAGCCCAGAAAAAACAAAGAGGAAAAAAAATTAAACAATCAGTTACTGCATGTCTAGATATTTTCATTTCCAATTCTGAATGTTGATAAAAAATAATTTGTAGTTTTCTTAAAAATATAAATGCTAAATAAAATATAAAAAAAACGCATTAAAAAAGAACAACAAACCTGACTCACCATTAACTGAAGAGTACGAACTTTATATAGTTCTTGTTCCGCATCTGTACAATTTTTATCTAATTTTAATACAACATCAAATGCTTCTTCAGATTCTGAATATTTCTAAGCACATAAAATTGATGAAATTATTAAAACATGTAACAAGACTTATGAGATAACATTTACTTCTTAAAAACAGCAATTACTTTTAAGCCACACAATGCTCTTCCTTTTCTAAAATAACCTTTGGCCCAATTAGGAGCTAAACTAATAGCTTTTTCTGAGTCTTTTAATGCTCTAGAAAAAAAAAATGAAATAACATCAATATATACAAAAAGCACTATAAAAAAATTTAAAATATGAAGATTTAACTAATATCAATCCAATACAAATATATTGGTGTATTGGAATGTTCCCAATGTATCAGAAGTGGTTCAATTTACAAGCCAATACACCAATTTCTTTTATTGATATGCAGCATTTACATTGCTTGGCCATGACATATCATGCTATAAAACTAACCCAAAGCATACAGAGTGTCCTCTCTGCATATCATTCACCATATGATGGTATAGGTTGTCATTAAATTTTGAAGAGTCCAACTTGATAGGGAGAGACAGTACAGTGATAGGCAGGTAACTTGTGAGCATAGTTGCAGGCAGGTAACTTGTTGCCAGGTCCAGTGATGTATCACCAGATTTGGCAATATTTTACACCCAAATAAATTTTGCAACTATTGTTTTCAATTTGGTAATTTTTACTATACTATTATAAATTTATTCAAAGTGTGTTCAAATTTTTCCTTAAAAACAGGGCTGGAGTCAGGCCTAGGTAAATTATAATTGTCTATACAATTTTCTAGAGCCCAGCTAGGGTATGCCAGATAATTGAGAGACTAAATTATCCTTTCTGCAGTGGGTTAGTCAGGTATGGTGTATGTCCCTATGTAGTGGAGAATAAATGCGGGAAATTTTTTAAAGTATTTTTTTTAAGTATTTTCTCATTACTGTTTTGGAAAAAGATTTTGTAAACAGTTATGTCTAGTAAAGAAAAGTCTTTTTTTTATTGTTACGTAATTCCTTTTTTTATGTGAATTTTTTTTCATGGTAGTTTTTGGCTATATCTGCAAAATTCTTTTGTGGATGTAGTCAAAAACTAGTCATAAACCACCAGTAGGTCACCAGTGCCACACGATCGCCCTTGACGGATATATCTATTGGTCACTGCTGAGTGGTTATCAAGAGGGTACAACTATATTCAAATCAATCATCATTATTATTAGATACTATCTATTCAAGAAGAAGAAGAGACTAGTAAGAAGATATGATTAAGATGTAACAATAGACACCATAAACTATACAAACTGTACCTTACATCAGCTCAACTTTTAATTTAATATGAGAAAATACAAGGGCGGTATTTTTCAAGCTCCAATGGTCCATAAAAAAAGACAAGTGTAAATAACAAAATGAATTTATTACCAAAAGTTAGGTGCAAACATGGTTACATTTCAACATAATCACCATGAAGATTGAGGAATTTGTCTTATCTGTGGATGAGCTTTTTCATCCCCTTGTCATAGAATGTTGCCACCAGTGAATTGAGATGGCCTTAACAACATTGTTTTGAAGATCGTCATTAGTCTCAAACCTCTGCCCTGCTAGCCATATTTTCAGTTCAGGAAAGAGGTGGAAGTCTTCACATATTAAAAAGTTCCAAGATGGGTGGAACTCTGAAAGGTGGAAATTGTCACCACCTTTAAACACCAAGCATATAACTCTGATTTAGCACCAAGCAACTTCCATCTTTTTTCTGAACAGAAAAAATGACTAAGAGGGCAGCGGTTCAAGACTAACTATGATCTTCAAAACAACATTAGGGCCCATCTCAAGTCATTGGCGGCAACATTCTATGACAAGGGGATGGAAAAGCATGTCCACAGATATGACAAATGCCTCAATCTTCATGGTGATTATGTCAAAAAGTAACCGTGTTTGTACCTAACTTTTGGTAATAAATTCATTTTGTTATTTACATTTGTCTTTTTTTTATGGACCATCAGAGCTTGAAAAAAAAAAAACAGCCTACATAGTTTATAAATTATAACTAGAAGAGAATAAATGCAAACTGACTTAAATAAATCAGTAAGTGAAATTTTTACACTCATTCTTTAGTTTTATACATATATATATATATATATATGCAGTAGAACCTCGATTATCTGGACTAATTGGGGATGAAGGTAGTCCAGATAAAGAAAAATTCGGATAATCGAAACAAATACTTTAATTTGTCTTTTAATGATAATACAACACGTTTTCTTTTTGATGATATATCAATAATATTAAAAGTAAATACTGTATTTAAACCGTAATCAAATTTTCAAGAAACAAACGTTCGTATTGAATTTGTACTACTACTGACCAACGCTGACAGACTACTTATTGTTTAAAAGGCCCTCTGGTAGTGCAAGAAGACGAATTTTATAAAATAAAAAGCAGTCGAAACTGCATTTTTATGAATAAAAATTTGACAAACTATTTATCGTTTTATGACGAATAAAATTTTTTCGTCATGTTCGCAGCTTTTAAGTAATGCGTAAACCTTCGAAACGCGAGGCCCTTCGGACCGCCAGGCATAGGCGGTGGCCCACGTCGCCCATGCCTTACATCGCTCCTGGTCATAGAAATGATGTAATTTGAAAATAAAATAATTTATAAATACGTATGTCATGTTATATTTTTATTACGACGCAAAATATATTTAAGAGTTACGGCCACTGTGCCGGGTGAGATGTTGTTGAAAGAAAAAAAATTATGCATTCCATCACGCACATAAACAGTATCGTAATTCGCCAAGTGCAAATCAGCAAATTCGTAAAATTTTTGTTTATTTCGAACAATCCGGATAATCGAGGTTCTACTGTATATATAAATAATTTGCTATAAAAACAAAGTATTAAATATTAGCAAGTCAATATCTCTCATGGATTCAAAGATACTTATACTTATTTATCAGTTTAATCACTAAAAATTTCATAGGATTGTATTTCATTTCTAAATATTCACTCAAAACAACTAAATGTAGGCTATTTGATACTGTAGAGGTCAGCTGAGGTATTCTACATAATCTAGCTTTTTAAAAAATATCATTAAAATATGATGAATCAATAAAGAAACAAACAGAATAAAATACTCACCTCTCATATAAACCTAATCTATCATAACAGTAGGAACGATTGCCAAAAAACCTAAATAAAAACAAAATTAGATCATCATATTATTTTAAATATTTTTATTAAATTTTTTATATATTTCATCTACCTGTAATCATTTGGATTTAACTTAATGGCCTCTGTGAAAAGTTTAACAGCTTCTTGATAATGACCGACTCCAGCCATTTCATTACCACGAACTAAAATCAAATCACAACTCTTGTAAATTATCATTAGAAACTGTAATAATCTTTATTTGCTCAAAAAATTAATAAATGCATAATATACGATCAATTAATTAACAAAGTCCATTCATAACAATTACAAACTTATAAATGTAAATTTCAATAAACTTAAATGTGAATGGAATGGTTTGAATTGTATATATTTGAAAACAGTTTGATACAATTTTTTATATATTAAATTCATATTGAAATGAGTCATTTGAATATTTTATAGTAACAGAAATTTATAAAATTTACTTTATAAGATCAACACACAATTTCTTTGTTTTAGATTAATATTTATGCATTCTAAATATTTTAGTTTAGAGTGACTAAAGAATGAGAATATATAACTTTGAGTATGTTCAAACATATTGTGAGATATATGATAGGGTCGTTATTAGCCCACCAAGGCAAACACCCCAACAAACTAAACACAAAGTAGATGTGAGATGTTTACTTTATTTATACATGTTTTGACTATTTACAGGTTTAATCAAAGATGTCAACTCTAGGATGGTTTCTCCAGCATAAATCCTAAACATGATTGTCAGTGAAAATTACAAAACTAATAAATGAACACAACACCCCAAATTGCAATAATCCGAATCCAATACAATTAACAAGAATAATTATTACAATATTAATTTTTCTAAAACTAACCCTTAATACTAGACTTACACTGCTATGAAAAATTGAAGATAGGGGATAGTAGTAATAATAATGGCAGATAGGAAAGAACAGTACCAGGTCCTGAAAATGTCTTTCAGTTCTGTTGTGAAGAGCCACATGAAACTTCTTGCACTTCTGTCTTCTTCTCCTTAGTTCCTAAGGATTTTTATTTATATCCAAATCATTGCTCACACATTCTAAACTCAAAACTGGTCATGTTGAATACGACTCCAACACACTAACTTCGGCCCAGGAATTTTAAGGATTCTTGCTCGAAGTTATGATTTCATCCATCTACTTGGGTATCAGACAATATCACACCTCTATCATTGTCCACTCTTTTTGAGCACCAACTCAAAAGTGTCCCTTCTTCCCCACCACAGAGTAAGTATGTTTAGAGGGTTTACTCTCCATACACTTAATGGTAATTTCAGGCGTAACATTTTCCCAAAACCAGCATTAATATGCATCACCATCATAACATTCTTCTTTCTACCTTCTGTGAACATTTTAAACTTGACTCTGTTTATCAATCCTGGTGCAATAACTATTTTTTATCATGTACTTATACATATTTAAACCGAATTGTTGGTGTTTGTAACCCTAGGTTTGACAGTATTACTCAAGAATACATTTAACAACCTTAGATTTATGATCTGTCAAAACACTATTAAATTATAAAATGTATTTTATATACAAATAAACATTTAGCAATATTTATGCTTACTTGCAACTTGTCGGCTTCTTAATACTCTTGTTTCAATTTCTCTACACTGAAACAAAAAAATACATATAGTTTTTACTAACATTAAAATATTTCCAAATTCATTTCATACAACATAAACTGTTTTCTTAATAAGTGGTAAAATTTTTATTATGTAACAAGAAAACTCATTTTACAAATATAGAAGCAGTCTCTAATTCAGTGACTTTACAATTTACATTGTTTGATATTTTAATAACGGTAAGAATGTGACTAAGATGCATGAATAATTCTCTGTAGACAATTTTAATAATAAAATAATTTGAATTAATTTTGAAATATCTGAAAAATGACACAAAATGCAATTTGAACATAAGTTAGGCTAGTACTGTACATCCTAGTTGACATATCTAAATATTCAAAAGTAGATTTTTTATGATTATAAATTTATAATAATTAAAATCTTTTATAAAATATTTCAAAATTAACTGATCCAAATTATTTAATTAATACTATATGAATTGATGATAAAATCAACTATATAACAATGAAATTATTCCAATTGTTACTTGATAATTTAAATGTAAAATATAATCTGATAAAAACTTTGTTTATTAAGTTATGTTTGTTTATATTAATTGTTAACAAGTAAAAATAAAAAAATAAAAAATTAAACTTTTGTTTTTAAAAATTTCTTGTGTTATTTTTTAATTAAAGAAAACTAAATGCTATTTGTAATAAGTAATTATATTATCATTATTCATCATAAATACTACTTTAATATAAAGATAATTTGTAGTTTTTCAACTGACAAGAGCTCTGTTTTCCAACTATTAAACATATATTGAATTAAGTAATCAGCTGTTTTCTTTAGATTAATACAAGATAAATCAAATAAATAACAATATAATTTCTTTAAAAGATATCAAATCATATTATTTGCAAATTATTCATTAATTTTAATAAATTTCAATAAAAATTAGTCTAAATAATATACTTGAAATGTCATATTTAAAAATAATCATTTAAATTTATCAAATATTCAAAAATGGAGTTCAATATTAAAGGGTTTTTTTTTATTCAAAACTAAACTTTTATCAATTATATAATTAAAACAAAAATAAATTATGAATCATTATTTGATATTTCTAAATGAAGTAAATAAATTCTATTTTTATAAATTACATTAAATTAAAAAGTTGTAACTAATATTTATAAATTTGTAAATATGAAATTATATTTTAACACAGTCCTATAATATAGTATAGTACATTCATTCATCTATGGTATGTATGTATATGCACTGTACTGTACACAGCACAATTTTAGTAATCTTGCCATTTACTAGTTTGGTAACCCAACACTAGTTGACTCTCAGATTTTGTTGGCACAATTGCCAAGTTGTAGACAAGTTTCCTGTTAGTTCAAAACTTCAGTTTCCACTAACTTTGAACATCTTGCTACTATATGATATCAAGTCCAAGCTTTAGGTATGATAATCAATCAATCAATCGTTTATTAATATACTGTACATTTTACATGCTTGGTATTGCAAAAAGCACAACCAAGATACAATACAGTTAAGATATGACAAACTAGAGTGGATATAACATCGAGATAATACATAAATCAGGTAATAGTGGGCAGTAATACATAAGATAGATAAAATACTTAAGATACATGAAGGATACATAAAACATGAAATGAACTACTAATAATAAAACACCATACAAAGTAGTAGTAAAAAATATATACATAAAACTATGCAGGATTTGATTGCAGTGATTACTAGGGTAAATATTACAGCAAAGGTACACAAATTGAGTTATAATAAATAGTTAAGCATGAAATAGGTAAAATACAAAAGATACATAGAAAACAAATTGAGTTGATAATAATACACTATGCAAAATAGTAGAAATGATATAAAAGTTAAAATATATAATGATTGTACAGGACATGTATTGTGTCACAAGTCCAAGGAGAGAAGGTTATTGAGAGTAGGGACTTATCACAGGAGACAGTTTGCAAAATTTTTTAGCCATCCTGGAGAAGGCAAGATATATCTCTTCATTGCTGAGAAGATCTGAAGGACAACATGAAATCCCATGGGCATTTAAAAGAAGTTTTATTTCCAAACGTTCCTCTTTAAGAATAATACAGTCGAAAATGTAGTGTATGCTGCTGTCCTCCACCTGGCAGGCAGGACAGAGATGAGAAGGATGATTAGTGAGACATGACAGGTAAGTGCCAAATTTGCCATGACCTGTGAGGAAGTAGTGAAGTATGATCGTGATTGCGTCATGAAGTAGTTAGGTGTGAACCAGTCAAGTTTGAAAAAGTCATTAAGGTTTGGAATAAAACTGTGCGTGATGCAGCTATTTTTTCATTCCAGATATCCTGCCAGGTGGAAAGAGTATCCTTCCAAAGGAACTGACATAACATGTGTTTGATGGCTTTGTTGTAGATTATAGGAATTGAGACATCCCCAACCATAGATTGGTTGGGATGCCAAGAGGTTGGCATGCTCATTGCCAGGAGTGTCCAGGTGAGCATGAGTCCAAGTGACTGATATGGTATTGCTGGTGTTGTTGATGATATTCCTGATTTTGATAGCAATCAGGTGGAAGTTTGTACTATTAATAACACGGTTGGCAGATAAGCTGTCAGTAATGATATGGATATGGCTGAGAGAATAATTGTTAGTAGACCAAAGGAAGCCCATCTTTATAGAAAGTAATTTGGGTTGAAAGATGGTGCATATGTTGCTAAGGTGGTATTTTTTGAAGTGAGTTTCCTCCCCATTAATAAAGACAACAAAACCACAGGCAACTGAGTTTTGAATTTTAGATCTATTGGTGAAGATCTCCATGTCAGGAATTTGAGGGAAGTTGCCATCCAGGCAGTAAAATTCATTATCAAGTAACGAAGTATCCAAAAACAGATAAGGGCTCTCATAATTGTTGACGTTAATCCCTCCAGCGCTGGTGTTAATTTCTTCACCTCATTTAATATTTTGAATTTTTCTGTTAAATTGGATTATGAGGTCAATGGCAAGCTTTTTGGTGATAACTTGAATGCTAAGGTTGCACACAGTCCAGAAGCATTTGGTGAAGAGAGTGAGTTCTCAATGTTGTGATGAGATGAGCTTCCTTTTAATATGGACTTTATTGGACGCCCAGCCCCAGCTGCCACAGGTATAGGTCACCACTGGGATGTAAATATGGTCATAAATAGTGCTCATAGCACCCAAAGAAAGGCCCCATGTTTTCTTGGCTACCTGGGCAAAGGTCTGCATATTTAGGCCAGTGCATTTTGTGATGGCCTCAACATGTGCATCCCAGGAGAGGATGATCCAGGACAACCCCCAGGTATTTAAGGCTTTTCTCAATTTTGATGGTTTTGCTGTCCATCTTAATGTGTGGTACCCTTCGGTATAAATTTGGTTGTCCTTATTTGTTGAAGACTATCCCTTTGGTCTTTAGAGGACTGAAATTGAGTTTATGTTTTATGCCTCAGCAGTGAATTTCTTGAGCAGGTGGTTGCCATTGTGCTTGAGGACAGCCCTAGAGCAGTCCCCCACCAGGACCAGGACATCATCGGCATAGGCTATCAGCCTATTCTGTCCGAAGTTCTCCTGTAGAAATGCATTGAACGTGATGTTCCAGAGTAGTGGCCCACACACTGAACCTTGTGGACACCCTTTGGTGATCGTTTTATGGGCATTGTGTTAGTCCTTGTGTAATATGGCAAATCTGTTATTCAAATAGTCCTTCATAATAATTATAGTATAGGTTAGAGGGACAACATAAGGTCCTGAGTTGTTTTAGAATGAAGGGCCACCAGGCGCTGTCGAAAGCCTTGGAGATGTCCAAGCTGACCACGAGCACATATTTGTGGTCATTCAATAAATTACAAATGGTATCAATAGCAATGTGAATTGCATCTTCAGCTGATTTTCCTGGAGGAGGAGATTGTTCTAAAGGTACCAGGATATTTGATTGTTGATCAGATGTTAAAGAATCTTTCCAAGTACAGGCAAGAGAGAGACTAGCAGAAATCTTTATGGTTGCCTGGTTTAGGTACCAGGACAATCTTGGCCACTTTCCAGGGATCAGGGAAAATACTATGCTTTAAGCATTGTACATGCCAAGGAGAAAGTCAGGGATAATCCCCAGAGGCAGAGAGCAATGTTGTTAGTTATATCATCAGGGCCGGGAGACTTCCCCCTCTTTAGTCCTGCATCGTCAACTTCCCTCTTTACATCGTCAACTTCCCTGGTGGTAAAGGGAGGAGTGTTTTCCATTAGGAGAGGTTGGTTGATTTCCAGGTATGACACTAAAGATTCTTAGGATCATCATTGTATGCTGCTGAAAAAAGGCACAGTATCTTATAATACAATAATGTATAAATATAAAATTCAGCCCCTGAAATAATTTCACACAAAAAATACTGTACCTCCCACTAATCTTCCATGCTTCAATTTCCCATTAAATTTGGTAGAAAACCACCAACTTGGCAACACTGATTTCTGACAATGGCAGCATGCTTAGATCACAAAATAGCAAAAGACAATTGAAAATTATTTTAAAAGGGTTGGAAATTAATTTGAGAACTCTAAATACAGTAAGATATGATTTCTCTTCTTTCATAATTTCTTGTTATTCTGTGTTTTTGATTAATACAATGTATTAATACCATACAAATAAACAAATGCCTTTTTTCTAAAAAATTTTCCATTGAATTCACCTTATTTCCAATAATCTGGCAATCTCCTTAATCTTACTCCATTCCAGTCGCATGTATGTCAGATTACCAAGATTGTACTGTACAGTACACACATACAGATATTTATAAATTATCCAATATAGATACATCCTAATTTTTAATGAATTCTTTAAATTTTAACGATTTTTAAAAGTTTTTCCACAAAAAAATAATGCAACTTAACTATCATTGAATTAGCATTATATCCAATTAAATATAATTTGATGAGTAAGCTCGATAATTATATTACTGATATTTTGTGTATTCAAAAAGCTCCTTGATTTTAACTTATAAAAGTGGTTATAATCAGAAAATAAATATACTAATATTTGTTCTTTTAATTTTGCTAATATTTTTTTCTTACATACTTAAATGTTTTAACACATAACTGACAAATGCATACAACAAATGGACCATAGGAATGGATCTGATTTGTGAATCAATAAGGATTTATATAAAACAAAAAATTATAATGTCAAAATATACAATGTGTCTTATAAGTCTGGAACCATAAGAATTATGCTAGTATTCGTTTAATCTTTTACAAGTATGGCACTGAATAAGAATGAATGAATTCAAGTAATTTTGGTCATGGGAGTCCACAGTGAAAAGTTGCCAAATATGCCTGATAGGTTTAATAGGATATATCCAGACTTTTCACTAATCATATACATCAGTTTGGATGTTTTACTTTAAAAGAATAAACAAAGACAAACATGATTCCTATGATTCCAGACTTATTGGATACCCTGTATATAAATTATCTGTTTACATTCAAACTTGATTTAAAAATTTATATCTGTTTTGTAATTAACTTTTTAAGGAAATACTGAAAAACAAAATATTTCATAACATCAGACAGCCTCTTATATACTTACATTCTGTACATCATTATTTTGCCTTATATTATTACAAAAATTATCTTCATTTACAAGTTTTTGCATTGAGATATTTCTCTTACTTTTACTAGCAGCAACAGCCACAAAAGCACTATTAGGATCAATACCCTAAAGAAAAATTGAAGAAATTTATTTATTTTTCATTAAATTATTTAATAATAATAAATTATTTCATAAATAAAAAATATTATACAAGTATCTATTTTGGAATCACTTAGATAAATATGAAATTCACAACAAAGTAGAATTCAGATATAATTATAAGTCACCACAATGTTAATATTATCATGATATAATGCTTTTTTGTTACTGTGTTTAATGAATAATTATATATACTAATATGAAATAAACTTACATTTTTGAATCCTTTACAAGCAGACTGATTATTATTATTTTTATTTTTATTTTCTTTGCCCTTTTTACAAGTTTCAGAATTTAAAAAACTATATCTATCTTGCTTTAATGGTGAAGGAAAAATGTTCTGTTTACAGTTCTTTTTCTGTAAATGTGTTGCAGTCGCTAATTTTTTACTCTTATTGGCTGCAACTGCAACAAAAGCACTGTTTGGATCTATACTCTAAAATAATGTAAGTAAATAAATCTTAATAAATTAAATCATCATAAATTATTTTTTACAATATATGCAAATAAAAATTTTTCACCTCTCCTTCAGTATCAGAACAACTACTATTTGGTACACTGGAAAAAATTAAATTTTTAAATTTTTTTCTCCAACCAGTTGAATATATTTATATATATATATTAAAATTTAAACTATAAGAAATTTTAAAATATTCCATATTAGCACTTAAAAAAAATTGACTCCATAACCAGCAAATTATGTAATGTACAAGTCAGATATAAACATCCATAGTTTTTAGTTCATCAGAAATGTAACTGAATCATTCCAGTTTATCAACAACTAATTTTAAAACAATGTAATTTGAATAAGTTAAATTAATTAAAGGCTAATTTTTAAAGCAGAATTTCTTCATTAAATAAAAGTTGATTGATAAATAAAACTAAGGTACAGTACATCCCATAATTAGAAAGGTATCTACTTAAAAATTTTAAGTATTATTCATAATTGTTTTTTTAGAAATGAAAATGATTTATATATTTTTATTTCAGACATTTTCTGAACATTTAATTAAAATGCCTCAATGTCCTTTTTTTTTTTACTAAAATATAAATTTTCATCTATAATAACGTATTTTCTATTTTGTCAGTCAAATTTGAATGTCCAGCTGTGGTAAAAATAAATGAAAACCTTAAAATTGTAAGATTTTTTATTAAGAATTTTATTAAACCTTTTGTCGGGAATTCTAATTGTAATTTTAAATACTTATTTTATTGTTATAGAATATACAAAAGTACCTGCTGAGGAGGGACAAGAATGTCCGAAACACAAAACTATGTATATGTCCAGGTATATTAAGTAAAATAAAAAAATGTTTTTCTGTAAAACTTTGTAATATTTCTGTAGTGCCAGTATAATAAGTCCTGGTAATAGAAGATACATTATTATAGACGAAAATTTATATTTTCTGAACATGGTTGTAATAAATAAAATGTCATTAAATTGCAAATTATCTAAAAACATTCAAATGTTGTTTTTGCAGTACAGATTGAAGCATACTCTTATTAAAAGGTCAAGAAAAGGGCTTCCAATTGTTTCATTCAAATGAAAGGAAATGATTTTCAAGCACTTTGATAAACAGTATCATTCATTTTGCCACTGACAAAGGCAACATTAGTTTTACCTAAAAATCCAAATCCTGCTCAAACCATAACACTTTCACCTCCTTGTTGCCTCTTACAATACATTTGTTCTTCTCTTCCTAGATCATGCCAGTCATCTGCACCATCCAAATTAATTAAACTTTTTTTCATCACTAAACACAACCTACTTCTATTTGGTGGTATAGAACATTGTTTCTTTGACCCATTTCAATCTGATAGTCTTGTGTGTAACAGACAGAGATGTTGGGATGCTGGCTCTCTCTCTTCTTATACAGTAGTCAGTCTGTAAAATTTCTAAAAAAGTTAACTTGTTTACAGGAATATCTGAACAAGACGACAAATATCTCAAACTTGTACAATTGTTAGAAATTTTCTCAATAATTCTAGCTTGCTAATAAATTTGATGGTTTCCTGTTGTTTCTGGTGCTAAATTTATCACTTTTTAACACAAAATTTTCAGCTACAATTATAGATCTTTCCAAATGTTTGGCAATCTCCAGCATACATAATGCTTATTTGCTCTTTTTCAAAAATGAACATCCTCTGGGTATAAGAACAGATTTTATCATAACAAAAATACATAAAGTAATTGTTCACTAGTCCTATGCAAATATTTATGCATCTCAATGAGTAATTTATTTATTTGGACTGAAATTATAACCACTGTCTTTATATTTTTGGGACAAAAAAACCACTGGATGTTAATAAATATTTTTTTTTATTACAGGAACTTATCTTATTGGATGTCTCTATTCTCATCATTTTTTATAGAGCCTATATAATAAAAAATGTAGACTCATTTTATTGATCAAATACACAATTTTTATATTTTTTCTAATTAAAATTATGCCTTTATAATTATGGGATACACTTTATTCTTAAATTTGTCATTGCATTATATTTTATTATTCTAATATCAACTGATGAAGAACAGAAATGTTTCAAAACAGTTTTGATAACATAAAAACTACAGACTTCTATATTTAATCTTGCTTCTTATGGTTTAAGATATATCATTATGTAAATTATAAAAAAATTTGATTAATTATTTAAACAGAATAAATAAATAAATTTTTATTACCTTTTTTCTTCTTCACATTTTGCATCTTCGGTAATATTCTAAAAGAAATTAATAAATTAAGAAAATTGAAAAGTTGTAATAAATGCTTATGATTCTTTCTTACAATTTCCCCATTTCTTTCTTTTTGTAATTTCTTTTTCTCTTTTCTTTTCTGAAAAAAAAAATTAAATTATTATTATTTAATTTATAATATATATTATTTTAATACTTTAATTTATTAAATTTCATACTTTTTTCTTAGCTCTTCTTTTTTCTGCTCTCTTCTTTTCTCTTTCTTCTTCAGCAATTAAAGCATCTGCATTCTGTTTGGCTTCCTATGAAAATAATCTCTGTTAATTAGACTTAAAACTTTGATACATTTTATTCTTTTTAAATTCAGCTAACTCAAAACATTATCATAATCGTAGCATTTTTGCAGCCTTAGAATGATGTAAATAATCTTTTTAAAGAATGTTGAGTAAAATTGCAGCTCTGAATAAGCCAGCTGGGTTGGTTTATTGATTACAGTAATGTGACATATAGGTGATTTGTCAAGTGGGATGCCTCCCAATAGGACTTATGGAAAATTGTCCCCTATTTAGATGTTACAAACATAAAGAAAATCCAGATAACTCTACATGATCAGCTCATTGTGAGGTGCAAAGCTACTACCAGTGTTATCCACTCGGCCTCTGGTGGGCTATGAGATAGTTGGGACCTTATCAGAGCTGTAGACTATGCCCATGGGAGCAAAAATAGTCAAAGAAATCTATGGTCTTTGTATGACCCTTCAAAGAATAGCCTCCAAAAATCAGTCTATCTGAAATTTTGAAGAGTATCAAAAATGGAAAATCTGAAAGTGAAAAATCTGGAATTATTTCTCAAAACAACGATAAAAATTAGCTGTTTTCCACTTTACTAGAGATGGCTAACAGCTCATAAAACACAAGAAACCCATTTTACTGACTACTTCTGGAGTGTGAATGGAGTCACATTGTTCACCCAGTAAGTCTATCACGTGTTTATAGGTTGATTTTGAAAGGCTATATCTTGCAAAGGTCATATGCAGAATATCAGTTTCTTTGACATTTTTTACTCCTACAGACATGGTCTACAACTCTAATTAGGTCCTAACTGCCTCATTCAGAGCTGCAATTTTATTGAATATTGTCTATCTTGAATTTAGAATTGTGAAATCCATTGTTCTTGTTCTTAGATTAACAGAATAATTTTTGACAATTATCTAGCATTTTAATTTAAATGTTTTGCAAATATAAAAAAATAACCTTTTCTTCTTTTCAAAAAAATGTTTATTAATTTTTGGTCTAATTTATAGGCCTACACCAGGTTTTCCATCATTTGACCATCAATAAACATTTTGCTGGAAAGAAAAGAAATTATTTTTTGATATTTGCAAAAGGTTGCAGGTCTGTTTTCCATTTTCTGGTCAAAATATTATGATTGTAGAAATGCAGTTAGTGCAATTTAAAGGATAAAACATATATCATCTCTTGCAATATTGTTATTTTCTAATTCTAATAAAGTGTTTTAAATTATTTATAATGAGTGATTAAGAAATTTAAAAAAACTTGGCACCATTACAAATCAATTGATACGTAAAACACTATTACATTTAGATAACAAAAACTATTTAATATAAAATATTTTCAGACTAATTTAAGCCATCCCAAGCATAGAACACATAAATGAAATAGAATATCTTTTACAATTTAAACTTAGAATTTCAAAATATTACAAATTGTAACAGTCAAATAAATTTAAAACTGTTTTTAAACAGATAACAATAATAAAATTTTATTAACTAAATCTAGTTCAAATGTTTTGTTTTATTATTATTATACAAACAGCTGCTCACCTGGCAAAATGTATTCTACTACACTTATGTGTAATAGAATACATTTTATGCCCAGCTGCAGATGGCCTAAATTAGGTTGAAAACATTTTATATTAAATAATTTTGGTTACTGAATTTAGCAGTGTTTTGTGAATAAGTGATCAAAATTTATTTGTAGAAATAAAAATAATTCTAATGTTTCTTGCAGTGGTGTTTTTATTATAATTAATATTAGAATCCAATTGTATTCAAGTTTATTTATTTAAAATCTATCAACAAAGTGTGAATCTCTCATTTTTAAAAAGACAAACATATAATCTTGCTCAAGTAATCCAGTTATAAAAACATGCATTTCAAATGTCCCTCCAAGATTCTCAGAACATTCCTATTCAATTTCCCTGGTGTATTAAAATTTTTTAATGTAATAAATTAAACATTTACATTTAAAATCATAATATCCATATGTTAATGAAAGATTCATGCTTACAGCATGTATACCTTTGTACATTCATATGAGAATCACATACATTTCTCCATTCTATTGTTAATTATTAAATATTCCCATCAGATGGTGCTGACATATGTACAGTATCTCCATTTAAATTCATTATTTTCTTGGGGTTCTTTAACCTTACATTTAGGCATATTATCTTCATATTTTAATATCTTCTTTATCAATATCACAATTATTATTACAACAATGCTCTGTTATCACCAAGTTTTTGTATTGTAACTTAATTTCATTGAGATGTGGACATTTACAGTAGGATTTTAAATGTGATTGTTTAATTTATGTTAAAAAATTTTAATACACTGAGAAACTATAGAGGAATGGTCTAAGAATCTTGGAGGGATGTTCAAAATGCACTGGATTATTTGAGTATGGATAATATAGATAATTTTAACCAGAGAAACTTGTTTGTTTTTTAAAAATGAGAGATTACTGCTTTGTTGAAATATTTTAAATAAATAAACTCAAATAACTGACATTGTAATATTAATGAAAATAATTATTTTTAACTGACTTGTGAGTATATGATGGAAAAAAAATCTAAAACAAACAATAGAGAATTTAATATTAAGCTAATATTTATTAAAATCATAGATTAATTTTTTTAATTAATAGCATCTCACCTCAACAGTAAGAACTGGAAAAACTGAAAATAAAAATATTATTATTAAATATTATGATAATTATAAAAACTCATAATCTATTTCAAAAATGATTAAATACAACCTATATTTTTATATTTTATATGTAAAGACTGTCCCAAACGAGTATGTACATTACAAGAATAAGGAATATAAATACTGTACAATAATATTTCTTAAATGACTGAATAATATATCTATTAAACTCCCAATATTCTAATTTAAAGTAATATACATTCAAAATTTTATCATAAAAATCATATTTAATAAGTGATTTAATAGTCTAATATTGCACTAATTCTACTCATTTTGTTAAATTAGAACAGACAATTACCAAAAATTAATAAATATATTGTCAATTAATCATTTTTCATAGCATCCTATTACTCAAATCAATTTAAAGTTAGATTACTTTATATTATATAATTAAAATATTAAATATTTAATTTTCAAATGATATTCAATGATTCAACCTTAAAATGTACATTTATGCTTATAACAAAAAGTAATTTAATGACGAATAAATTAAAAATATAAATTATTTTTAATGTTTAATTCTGAATTATCATCTATAAACTATTGCATTGAATATATTATAAAGAATTGACAAACTAAAATCATTTATATAATAAAAATACAGTCGACCCCCGTATAAGATCATTGATTATTCCGTTTTATATGAATTCCATGTTGTACAAGTCACTTAAATTTTACAAATACGTGAGCCGTTCACAGCCCGGTACACGTATTTGTAAAATCTAAGTGACTTGTACAACATGGAATTCATATAAAACGGAATAATCAATGATCTTATACGGGGGTCGACTGTAGTTTCTTAATTTAATGGCAATATCTGTTATTTATATTTTCAAGTGGTTTTTCAAAATTTAATAAGTTTTTTAAGTAAATGCAATCTAACTTTTGTGTTAAAAATAAATTATCAACCAATATATTTTCTAATATTTAAAGCATTAAAACTTAGTTTTGCATTTTAGGCAAATCACTAGAATAAAGAAAGTGAATGAGTGATAAAAATCATGCATTAAAATAATTCTGAATTATTTGAATTTTGTAATTTTTATATAACCTTTAACATAAGAAGTTTTTAAATTTCTTTTGACACCAATATGAATTTATAACAAATATACATACATATCCTCATGCTCATAATTCAATAAGAGTGAGCAGCTGGCAAAAGGGTACTACAAGTCACCCATTCAGCAACTTTCTCCAAACTTCCCTATCCAGACACACCTCTTTTGCTTCAGACACACTCATGCATCTTCTAACACACTTCCTCACATTCTCTTTCTGACTCAACACCTTACGTTCCTTCAAATACTTATCCACTTGTTCCAACCAAGACTTTCTTGGCCTTCCCTTTCCATGCTTCTTATCCATCTTTTCCCTGTATATTCTCTTTAACAGTTCTCTTTTCATTCTCTCAATATGGCCAAACCATCTCAGAGTCGATTTATTCACCTTTTGAATCATTCTCTCTTTCACCCATATTCCTCCAGCACTTGTTCATTTCTCACATATTCTCTCCTCATTATGTCAAACACTCCTAACAAATACTCTAATATGATTCCTGCCACTCTTCCATCATACTCAACTCTCCCCCACACACCCATTTGTGTCCTTTATCCCTTGCACGTCTACTCATTGCATTCACTCTTCTGATAATTTTATCATCTATCCTATTCATCTATCATGCTTCCCAAATATACAAACTCATTCACTTTTCCAGTTGGTCACCATTCAGCTCAATCATGCAATCTGTTTGCTCAACTTTGCAGTCAAACTAATCACCTTAGTTTTATTCACATTCACTCACAGCATATATTCCTCATATACCTCTTCCAGATTAGAACAAGTATTTGAAGCTCTTCAATGCTCTGCTAATAGCAGTGTTATCTGCATACAACAATTGACATACTCATTCATTCCATACTCAGGCACTCTAGATCTCCTCGTGCATGCATCCATGAAAACATTAAATAACCACATGAACATAACACACCCTCCTCAATTGTGAACAACTCACTTTGCCATCCACAAATGCTCTGCTGTTTTAATATATTGCTCTCACATCTTTAAGTAGTTTATCTCTCACTCCATAATCACAATATTTACCACAGTTTCTCTCTATGCACTCTAACATATGTTTTCTCTAGATCAACAAACACTGCAAACACTTTTTACCCACATTCAAACATCTTTCCACAAATCACTAACAATATGAAGATCTGGTTCACACATCTCTTCTCTTTCATAAATTCACATTGCACTTTTCATATCTGCTTTGTAGTCAGCTTCTCAACTCTGTCAACTAATACTCATGAAAAAACTTCCAGGTATACTCAGCAAGCTTATGCCATGGAAGTTCTTACTTTCTACCATTTTACCCTTTCGCTTGCATATCAGAACAATCACAGCACTTTTCTAATCTTACAGACTATACCCTTATCCTGATGTAAGTTTCAGAGTTGGAAGACCCATTCTTCCACATTTTTCATTTTTTCCCACATTTCTGCAGTTACACACACACTCTAGATCAACGGTGGGCAACCCCCGGCCCGCGGGCCAGCTACGGCCCGCGAAGAGTTTCTATTTGGCCCGCGAGATGTTTAGAAGATATTATAAATAAATATTTTTCGATGTAATTCGTCTAGTTTAAATTGAATATTATTTTCTGAAGTGTTGCGGCAGCAATGACAGGAAAAAATAAGGGAGTCATTTCCTTATTAAAACAAAAAATGGGAGAACAGAATTTTTCTAAATTATTTATATCTCATCGCATCATCCATCAAGAAAATCTATGTGCAAAAGCTATGCAATTAGAAAATGTAATGTCTGTCGTATCCAACTACATAGTGCTGTTTTTATTGTGTTTAAAGTCACTTAGATTTTACAAATAGGTGAGCCGTTCACAGCCCGGCACACGCATTTGTAAAATCTAAGTGACTCATACAACATGGAATTCATATAAAACGGAATAATCAACAGTGTTATAGGGGGGTCGACTGTAGTAATTAATTTCTTTTTATTTATTTATTTATTTATTTTATATTTGCAGACTAAGAATTTACAGGTCACAAGGTGTCAATTAACTACTATGGCCCGCGGAAAAAACGTAAAATTTATTCTGGCCCATGTTATAAAAAAGGTTGCCCACCCTTGTTCTAGATGAAGAGATTTACCATTTTGCATCCTAATCTCACTTAAAAGAATAGATCCATATCCATCACTATTTTAATTTATCTCCACAACTGTTCCTCCACTGCCTTTCAACAAGCTCTCAAATATTCATGCCACCTTTACACACCTCACAATCATCCCACAGCAGGTCACAATTTGCTCTTTGTACACGGAGTACACTTTTCTTTCTGTTGCCACATATACTCTGAATTTGTTTCCAGAACAGTTTTCTATTCTGTTCAAATGTCCCTTGCAAACATTCAGTCCATTCTTCATTCATTCTGTCCTTACTTTCATTAATCACTCATGTAGCTTCTCATTTCTTCACTCTGTACTTATTCTCACTCATATGCCATTTAGTATGCTCATGTATGCAGCCTTTTCTCTTTCATTGCTTGCTCAACTCAGTCATTCTATCACACAGTTTCTCTCTCATAACCCACTCTTGTTACACTACATACCTCTTTTGCTGCTTCTAAACACACAAGATTGGAAATCAAATCCTTTCAAACCACTTCCAGATCACTTAACTCTTCATTCACTTTCCCTAGTTTTAACTGAACATAATCTCTACACTTGTCTTTTCTATTCACCAGGCATCTGTTTTCACTCACTACAGAGCATTGTTTTCATCCTGTTGTTATGCCCTCAATCTTCACTTGCACCCTCAATACCATTTTTTTAAATTTTTTTTTATTTGTGGTTTTAGGCCCCTTACCGCTCAGAGAGCACAAAGAGGCCAAAAATACCATTAAGTAATGATACTGAGCCACAGTTGGCTCCTCTCATAACTTGTATTTGCCACTACATCTCTTAATCTATTATCATATACAACAAAATCTATTATACCTCTGACCTTTCATACAATTTTCCCATCTATATTTGATCTTGTGTAAAGAATGGTTACCTCATGAATGGTCTTGTGTGGAAAAAGGTATTGGACACCCATGGGTCTTTTTCCACATAAGATCAATTGCTCTCCAATATCATTCATCTGGGAATCACCACATAGACCTAGCACTCTCTGATGTCTCTCTCTTCACACCCACCCATCCATTCACATTTCCAGTTAGAATCAAATGCTGCTGAGAGTCATCCAAGACACTATGTAACTTTTCCCAAAACTTGTTCTTTTCAGCATCCATTGGGGCATAAACAATGATGGCACTCACTCTGCATCTTTACTTTGAAGTGCATCCACATCAGTCTTTCATTCACTTGCTTATACTTCTGCATGAGTACATTAACTAAAACATCTACTTCTGCATTTGCTTACTCTCTCTCTTGCACATCAGACCAAATCAACCCATTCCCATTCACATCCATACAATCCTTGCCTTTCACTCTCGTCTTACTCATTCAAAGAACATCAAATTTATTTTCAGCCATTTCCCTTATTAACTCATTCACTTTATCTCTCGCTCCTCTTACATTCCACACACTAAATCAACATTCACACTTCCACTTTTTTTTCTCATTGGCTTAATCCAGTCCTGTCACTTGCTGGTTGTTGAAGGAAACTCTTAAGGTTAAAAGTCCCACCATTCCCAGATCCTACCTTTCTTTCCTCTTGTCTTCTTTTAAGAGGAAAAAGTATTTACATGATGGGAATGTTAGCTCCACATACAACCCCCATCCTGAAGGACTAGCAATCCCACCTTAGTTTGGCTCTTATCCTCTGGCCCATTAAGAAAACATACCAATTATTGATAAAAATAAATATTTCATAATTACCAAGGAATATTTTCTGAATTGAATGTATCATTTCAGATTTAAAAACAGATATTCGGAACTACTAACATTGTGTATAATTTCTGTTGTTGTCTTCTGTGTAATGTTGATATAAATAACTGACTTTTTAAATAACCTATAAAAACTTTGTTTGATTACTGTTTGAATTTTTGCTTACTATTATACTAGAAAATTTAATAAAATAATAAGGGAAATGGTTTGCTCTTAAGACTGGAATCTATCAGCATTTTTGAATTGGTTACATACTACATGCATTCTGAATAATTCATTAGAAACTTTAAATACTTATTCTATCAGTGTAAAAAATTAAATTGTTATTTATAATTTAAATATATTATATTTCTATTGATCAATGTAAATGAAAAGTCAATTCAATCATCTGATTTTCTTAATAAAAAATCCTGTTTATTTAAGTTATTCAAAACTGTGAATACTTCATAACATTTAAATTTTATATGTAAATTTCTTTCATATTATTACTTTGATTATATCAAAAATAAATTTGTTACTTTTCTCCAATATTTTTTCACTTAAATCAGTTGGAGTTCAATGTTTAATTCCTAAACAGAATATTGAAATATTTAAGAAAAATACTTTAAACCAAGTAATTAAAATAATTTTTAAAATATTTTATTGTAAAAAATTTTAAAAATAAATCATCATGAAAAAATTTATTATTTTTTAATCAAAAAAAGTACTCACCATTTCTAGTTTTATAACTTAAATCAGTTGCATCACTTTCATTACCAGAATCATTATCATCCCAATCATCAGTTTCATCATTTGAATCTAAATTTTAAATAACTTGTCTTTTTAATCTCATTTATAAAAAGTATTATTATTAAGTAAATCTATATATATATATATATATAGATTTACTTCCTAACTACATGGAATTGCTATATATATAGCATTTCCATGTGGTGAGAAAGGATTTCTGCATCCTTGACATTAACTACATGTTTGTAAAGACTTTCCTTAAAAAAATCTAGACTCATTGCATCAGCTATATTCTCTTTTTCTCTAATTTCCTGCAGTATACAGGCTCTCTTGCACTCTACCACTGCTTCCCTCTGCTAATGCTCTTTTTGGATTTATAAAGATCTATACAAACAATGCAATTAATATCAAGAATGAAGAAACCCTTCCTAGCCCACAGAAATAGCATCTATAGCTTAAAAATACAAGCACATGATAAGTAGAAAGTGCATAAAAGATGTACAGGGATCCTTCACTAAATTCATAATGGTATGCCTCCATTTGTTTGGTTATTGTCACACTGTGTATTTCTTATATATAAGTGAATTTTTTACCATATTTCGCAAACTGTCTGGCATGTCAGTCTTTGTGGGGAGACCACGAAATCAGATATTTCCATATGGTAAAAACCAGCATGCTGGTAACCCTGAGGTTTCTAGCATGTTGGTCTTTCCCAGTTATATGTGGTATGTTGGTCAATCCACAAAAATACAGTATCACATAATGTGATAGTGTCATAACATTTAAACTTTAAACCTTAAGTGTTCTTTTTTAACCATTGATGATTTTCAAATTATTGGAATTTTGTGGATGTGTTCAAATTTAGATTTTGCTATTGAAAATGAGCTAACTAGCTTAAACATACTAAAGAAATTTTGAATTTTTCTGTACTCTAAACAGTAGTGTGAAATTATTTATTTGAAAAACTACCATATTTTACAGCATATAAAATGCTCTTCCATTTTGGCACAGAATATTTAGGAAATGTATTTAAGCTGTCCTGTGAAGGTTACTCCTTTGAAAGTTACTCCAAACATTTTTACTGTATTACAGTTAAAATATTATTATTACTATTAATAGTACTACTACTACGTTTAATTAAACAATAACATTTTTATTTAAGAGTTGGGCTGGATAGAGATTAGTTAACTGTAGCCTACTGAAGGCAGTTAGGAAAATTCTTTAGCCTGTGAGAGATTGCATCTTCACATATATAATGCTTTTTAGCCTTCTTTTTAGACAAAAGTTGTATTGTGTATGCCTTAAAATATGGTAAATTATGAATTAAAAAATAAAATGAAATTATTCATACCATTTTCTTCTCCAAAAAAAACTTGCTGAAATAATGACAGCATATTTTCCTGAAAAAAATGTAAATTGTTAATTTTATCCTTCAATTTAATGAAAGGATAATCATAATTTTACAATAAATAAACTGTATTGAAAAGTCTAACAATTTAAAAATATCATTTATTGAGTGTAAAGCATTTTATCATTCACTTACATATTCATATTTTAGAATTAATTTTTATTCATTCTATAATAATTACCAATATGTAAAACTGGATTTAATTAATTAGTTTGTCTACAAAATGCTTCTACTATATCACCATTAAAAATACACTTAATACGCAGTAAAACTGTTAAATATATAACTACGACAATTACAGTGAATTGCGTTTAGTTGAATCTCTAGATTTTTTAAAATTGTTTTAAAAAGCTGTAGGTTTTTGCTGTTATTTTCTAAAGTTTAGAATGTATATATATTTATGAATAAACTTTAATTTCAGTGTAAGTTTATCATCAGTTATTGGTTATGACAGAACATTCAGAGTAAGAATCTCTGAATGTTATTCTAATTTGTGTTCAAAGATAAAAACAATATGCTAAAATAAATTGATATGAATAGTCTGATTTTTAATTTCTTACCTTTAAATTCTCAAAATAAGTCTACAATAATTAAGAGTTAAGTATTGACTTTAACAACTCCATTATCATTAAAACTATATGGGAAATAAATCACTTTACGTATCTAAAAACTTAAATTAAACAAGTTTTAATTAAAATAAATATTTTTGGAAATTCAACATGCCATCCTGAGATCCACTACAAATAAAAACTGTTTAAAGTGAATATTGAATGATGATAGTGGTAGTAGTGGTAAGAATAAACTTTAAACCAAGTTATCTAATTATTATATATTACTGAACATATATAAACAATTTGTTTGCTATAAATACATATTATTCTATTAGAATATGGCAGAAATTTCATACACTATGTAAATGTTTTCAAAATATATATATAACAATATACAGATAAGAACATGTAATTATTGTATATTATTCGTTATTAAAAAATATATATATAATACTTTAATTCTGCAATTTTTCCTGATAAATATATAATTATATAACTAAATAATATAAATCAAAAACTTCCTTTTCAATCATGTTAGCAATTCAGAATTTATGTCTTGGTGTATAATGAAAATTAATATACATAATATACAGTCAAACTTTCATAGTATGAACTTCTATATAGTGAATTTCTCCATATAACGTATTTTTGCAATGTACACTGATCTTATATATATATATGAGTTCACAATACATATATCTATTATATATATACTAAATTTCTATATAATGAACATTTTTAATTTGTAAGAACTATCAATCATTAAAAGTCAATTACTCTATCTGGATTGAGTTCAAATTTAGGTTCAATTTCAAGTATCAATCTGTAAACCCTTTGTAAAACTGTGGCCAAGGTGTGAGAAATACTGGTTGTTAGCTTTTAAAGTCATCATGTAATCTGCCCCCTTATGGCTACCAGTTGTAGAGAGAGATATTATCTGTCAATGAAGCATTTGGACCTAAATGATTTATAATTAACAATTATCAAAAATGTCAGAAAGGTAATAATTTTGAGAACTGCTAGACTAATTTTTGAGGTTAGTGAGATTTTATTTTATTTAATAAGTCATCTAGTTGAAGTTTGAAGAACTGTTTATATAGTTTAAGCATTACTAAAAAATTAATGTGTTGCTTGAAATTGATAAAAGCTCAAAAAAGAAAGACAATGCAGCAAAGTTTGAAATTCCTGTGAGTAGTTTATCAGCCATACTAACAAATCACAAAGGAATTTTGAAATTAGCCAATGATGCAAGATCTACAGCAAAATGTGCTTAAACCTGTGTTTACATCAATGTTGATGAAGCAGTTTTAATATTCTTACTAAGTGTGAAGCATATTGCAAAGAGAGAACATTTTTCAATTGTTCAATGCAATAAAAAATTACAGATTTGTTTTTTACAAAAATGTAGTTAAACTAATTTTTAAGTATTTTGACATATAAATGTAAAATTACTAAAAATTAAAATTACATTTATGTTATTAGTGTATATTATGTTTATACTAATTTAAATTATATAAAACAATAAAAAAATATTACATTAAAATAATACTTTAGTTACCTAAAAGTGTAATTTCTGTACAACGAAATTTCCCTATAACAAATTTTTTTCAGGATTTAACAACTTCAATATGTAGAAGTTTGACTGTATTTCACGTGGATTTTTTAAATTCTATCAACTTTCTATGAAATTCATTACATTTCTAAATTATCAGAAAACTAGTAATTTTACTGATTTACAATAAACTTTACTGGAAGTAACATTTCAATAATCAATTCTTATTTTCTATGCAGGAAGTGAAATGCTTTCATAGTCATCATTATTGTAATTTAATACAACGTGCACATTTCTATGATGTTAAAAATCCAAATACTATACTATTGTGGCTAATTGTTATCAATATGTTATCTGTATTCTAATCTTTGTATGCTTCTATACAATTTCTGAATAATTAATGGTTTTATAGTTAGCATTTAAATGATTTTTTGTAAAGCTTAAAAAATAAATGTTCATTTTTATATTACAAATTTATTTCTTCACATATTTAACAATTATTTATTTATTTATATCAGAGAACCAGGAAATTATTACACTTACCTATGTCAGTATTTTACTTTTTCACTTTTTGTCTTTATTACAAAGTTTTGCTTTAAAGCTTTTGATATGAAGTGTTGATTTCTTTTTTTAATTTCTGAAATTAAAGTATACATAAATATAATATTAAAAATATTTATTATTTTGGATATTTTATCAAAACAATTAAATAAAATTTGTTAAACAAAAAGTTTCATTGAACACTGAAGATTATTGCTATTTTGTTAAGTCTTTAAATATTTAAAGTTAATTCTTTTAAATAAATATTATAACTGTATATTAACTTAGGTTCATATGAATTTGATATATTCAAACATTTTAGAATATAAATAAACACAGATAATAATAATCTTGTGATGTTATCAAAATATAAAAGAAAATATTTAATGTATATTCACGTATTTACAAGTACTCTTGACAATTTCAACTTATTAACATCAGGCAATAATTAAATTAAGTAAAATGTATAGAACTATTTATCATTAAAAGAGTTCATACAACTCAAGAAATTAAAATCATCCAGAAACTTTGGACTTTATTAAGTGAGATACAGTCCGCTCACCTTAAAACAAACATCGATAAAGCAAACTCTCACATTAAATGAAATTTTGCAGTTGCCTTGGCAAAATACCATTGTCACAACATTAATTTTCACACAATAGAGCAAACAAAAATTTTACCAGAATTTGTTAAACCAAACAGAAATTGCTTTCACAACTCCCAAGAAATAACCTTAACTCCAATAATAATTTTATTATTCATACAGAAAAGCATAAAAAGCAAAGTGGTACTGTAATAAATGTTCTATTTTGAGTATAATAGATTTTTTTCTAGTAGGCAAAGACAGTTTGACCTCAGATTGTAGAGTAATTCAAATATCTGATTTTAGTGGGCCATTCTACTGTACTCAAAAAATAGGAGTTAAAGTTTAAAGATGTTTACCCCTTTAAATGGATGCTGACCCATGCAAACATGTGATTGTTTATATATGGTGAATGCATATAGTGAAGCTAGGTTTGGCTACTTTGTGCCAAATTTGGATCCTTTTTTTCACTCTTTTGGCACTAAAAAATATATTCTATTTTTTCAAACCATCTTCAACAGTAAAAAAATCACAAATTTCTTTTATCTTCGTTTTGTTTGACCACTCTGATATACCGCTCTACATTTAAACAACAAATACAGTCTCCTCCTCATTTTGTCTGATTTGAAAATCATTTAGATCATTAAATTTATTTAGTGAATTAATGCAAACTATTACAATTTAGAGATTTTGATTGCTTATTAATCCTTAGCTCCATAAATTTTACAACCTTGACCTTAACCCTGAAAACTATTAATATGAATTTTCAATAAAGCAAACTACTGTTTCCCTAGCGATTCATATTAACATAAGTTGATTGTATATAAAAATGCCTTCAAATTTATTTTTAAACTGGATTAAAATAGTCTAGTTTACATGCATTTTAATGAACTTAAGTGGTTCAGCAGGCATGATATGCCTGCTGTACCTTATATACATATATGAATATATACGTAAAAAACATCTCAAAGCCCAATGTTTTAATCATAAACCTAATAATTGCATTCAAATTATATCAAGCTAAAAATAGCCCTGTTTAATATGGCAATAGTTTGGTTTATGATCCTTGAATATGTATATATAAGATATGTTTGATGAAAAATTTCAAAAGAAAGACATTATATATAACATAAATTTTTGATGTTTATTAATAAAATAATTTAATCAATAAATTATTTATTAACATATTAAAATATACCTCTATCTATCAAGGATACAAAAAATAAAATAAAACTAATTAACATAAATTTTCATATTGATATACAGTAGAGCTTCGAAAACTCGGCCTAATGTGGACTGAAGGGTGGCCGAGTTTGTGAAAATGCCAGGTTATCGGGAATGGGGTTAAAAAAATAAGTATGAGTGTTTCCTCAGAAAATACTGTACTGTACTTGTATGTATTGTTTGCTTGAGAATACAACAGAGAATAAACTGCCCAAATACCCTTAAACAAAGGAAAAGTACGACCTTTATGAAGGCATAGAGCCTTTACTACATGAAAACGAAAATTAATGAATACACTGTGTACAGTAATTTACCTGATAAGACAGACCTNCTCCATAAATTTTACAACCTTGACCTTAACCCTGAAAACTATTAATATGAATTTTCAATAAAGCAAACTACTGTTTCCCTAGCGATTCATATTAACATAAGTTGATTGTATATAAAAATGCCTTCAAATTTATTTTTAAACTGGATTAAAATAGTCTAGTTTACATGCATTTTAATGAACTTAAGTGGTTCAGCAGGCATGATATGCCTGCTGTACCTTATATACATATATGAATATATACGTAAAAAACATCTCAAAGCCCAATGTTTTAATCATAAACCTAATAATTGCATTCAAATTATATCAAGCTAAAAATAGCCCTGTTTAATATGGCAATAGTTTGGTTTATGATCCTTGAATATGTATATATAAGATATGTTTGATGAAAAATTTCAAAAGAAAGAGTTCTAAAACATTATATATAACATAAATTTTTGATGTTTATTAATAAAATAATTTAATCAATAAATTATTTATTAACATATTAAAATATACCTCTATCTATCAAGGATACAAAAAATAAAATAAAACTAATTAACATAAATTTTCATATTGATATACAGTAGAGCTTCGAAAACTCGGCCTAATGTGGACTGAAGGGTGGCCGAGTTTGTGAAAATGCCAGGTTATCGGGAATGGGGTTAAAAAAATAAGTATGAGTGTTTCCTCAGAAAATACTGTACTGTACTTGTATGTATTGTTTGCTTGAGAATACAACAGAGAATAAACTGCCCAAATACCCTTAAACAAAGGAAAAGTACGACCTTTATGAAGGCATAGAGCCTTTACTACATGAAAACGAAAATTAATGAATACACTGTGTACAGTAATTTACCTGATAAGACTGACCCCAGAAAAATACTTTATGAGGCATAAAGCTGTCTATAATGAAAATTAATTAACTAAGGATTTTTTGCCCTGCCAGGGTGTGGCCGAGTTATCCAGAGTGCCAAGTTTTCAAGGCTCTACTGTAATTAAAAAAAATAAACTCAAATAAATTTTTTCAGTTAAATATATAAAAATAGCTTTCACAAAGTTTATATATTTTTATATGAAAGCCTTGGAGAGAACTGGTAGAACATACAAGCCAAAAAATTCATTTTTTAAATCTTAAACTATCTTACATTTAAAAGAAGATACAATGTCGAATTTGGTGTTTGACATTCTTTACAAAAGATGAGAAACAAAGGAATTATACCTTATTCTTATAATGAATATTTAACTTGTTTAGTCCAATTTCAAGCCTTAAAGCTATATAGTTTCATAATGTAACTTAAAATTGAAAAGATAGAATTCAGAAAACTAAATACCAAGAATGAAAAATCAATGTACTAGTTCTCTTTTGATATTGTTGTACTGTACATTGTTTTGCAACTAGCAGGAACTTATCTGCACCAATACAAATTAATAAGATTCAAGTCAGATAAAATACAATAGATTAAACCTGAACGAAGTTGCAATGTAAGATAGGTTTCGTTATTTTTTCCTTCTGAATTATATTTTGAAGGGTCTGAAATTTGTGAGAATTGTACAAATGAATTAAATTGTAAAAATTCTTTTGTAAGTGTTAGTAAGATTTTTAATAGAAATCTACGTAATTATTATCTAATTGCATAATCTGGAATTGAATAATCCAACTTGAAAAGTATTCCTAAAAATTGGATTTAAATCTTCTCAACTTTATCCAGAAATTTTGTGCCCAAATTGGCACAAAATAAAACTAATTGTTGAAGCAAAGATTAAAAATGACAAAAATAAAAAAGAATTACTTTATTTCAAGGTTTAAAACATAGAAAAAGTACACTTTTCTATGGAAGAATTAGGATAAGTAGGGCAAATTTAAAATAGCAAAAATCATCACTTGGAGAAAGATATTTGATAAAAAGCAGTCTATAGTATAATTAATTGATAAAATATTCTCACATTAACAAAGAAAGGAAAGATAGTTAATTTAGTCTCTACTTCAATTTTATTTATTTATTTTTTAATGTGAAAATTTCTTACATAAAAAAAATTGTCACTCATTATAATCTTGGATAGGTTATGNTTGTTCTAGATGAAGAGATTTACCATTTTGCATCCTAATCTCACTTAAAAGAATAGATCCATATCCATCACTATTTTAATTTATCTCCACAACTGTTCCTCCACTGCCTTTCAACAAGCTCTCAAATATTCATGCCACCTTTACACACCTCACAATCATCCCACAGCAGGTCACAATTTGCTCTTTGTACACGGAGTACACTTTTCTTTCTGTTGCCACATATACTCTGAATTTGTTTCCAGAACAGTTTTCTATTCTGTTCAAATGTCCCTTGCAAACATTCAGTCCATTCTTCATTCATTCTGTCCTTACTTTCATTAATCACTCATGTAGCTTCTCATTTCTTCACTCTGTACTTATTCTCACTCATATGCCATTTAGTATGCTCATGTATGCAGCCTTTTCTCTTTCATTGCTTGCTCAACTCAGTCATTCTATCACACAGTTTCTCTCTCATAACCCACTCTTGTTACACTACATACCTCTTTTGCTGCTTCTAAACACACAAGATTGGAAATCAAATCCTTTCAAACCACTTCCAGATCACTTAACTCTTCATTCACTTTCCCTAGTTTTAACTGAACATAATCTCTACACTTGTCTTTTCTATTCACCAGGCATCTGTTTTCACTCACTACAGAGCATTGTTTTCATCCTGTTGTTATGCCCTCAATCTTCACTTGCACCCTCAATACCATTTTTTTAAATTTTTTTTTATTTGTGGTTTTAGGCCCCTTACCGCTCAGAGAGCACAAAGAGGCCAAAAATACCATTAAGTAATGATACTGAGCCACAGTTGGCTCCTCTCATAACTTGTATTTGCCACTACATCTCTTAATCTATTATCATATACAACAAAATCTATTATACCTCTGACCTTTCATACAATTTTCCCATCTATATTTGATCTTGTGTAAAGAATGGTTACCTCATGAATGGTCTTGTGTGGAAAAAGGTATTGGACACCCATGGGTCTTTTTCCACATAAGATCAATTGCTCTCCAATATCATTCATCTGGGAATCACCACATAGACCTAGCACTCTCTGATGTCTCTCTCTTCACACCCACCCATCCATTCACATTTCCAGTTAGAATCAAATGCTGCTGAGAGTCATCCAAGACACTATGTAACTTTTCCCAAAACTTGTTCTTTTCAGCATCCATTGGGGCATAAACAATGATGGCACTCACTCTGCATCTTTACTTTGAAGTGCATCCACATCAGTCTTTCATTCACTTGCTTATACTTCTGCATGAGTACATTAACTAAAACATCTACTTCTGCATTTGCTTACTCTCTCTCTTGCACATCAGACCAAATCAACCCATTCCCATTCACATCCATACAATCCTTGCCTTTCACTCTCGTCTTACTCATTCAAAGAACATCAAATTTATTTTCAGCCATTTCCCTTATTAACTCATTCACTTTATCTCTCGCTCCTCTTACATTCCACACACTAAATCAACATTCACACTTCCACTTTTTTTTCTCATTGGCTTAATCCAGTCCTGTCACTTGCTGGTTGTTGAAGGAAACTCTTAAGGTTAAAAGTCCCACCATTCCCAGATCCTACCTTTCTTTCCTCTTGTCTTCTTTTAAGAGGAAAAAGTATTTACATGATGGGAATGTTAGCTCCACATACAACCCCCATCCTGAAGGACTAGCAATCCCACCTTAGTTTGGCTCTTATCCTCTGGCCCATTAAGAAAACATACCAATTATTGATAAAAATAAATATTTCATAATTACCAAGGAATATTTTCTGAATTGAATGTATCATTTCAGATTTAAAAACAGATATTCGGAACTACTAACATTGTGTATAATTTCTGTTGTTGTCTTCTGTGTAATGTTGATATAAATAACTGACTTTTTAAATAACCTATAAAAACTTTGTTTGATTACTGTTTGAATTTTTGCTTACTATTATACTAGAAAATTTAATAAAATAATAAGGGAAATGGTTTGCTCTTAAGACTGGAATCTATCAGCATTTTTGAATTGGTTACATACTACATGCATTCTGAATAATTCATTAGAAACTTTAAATACTTATTCTATCAGTGTAAAAAATTAAATTGTTATTTATAATTTAAATATATTATATTTCTATTGATCAATGTAAATGAAAAGTCAATTCAATCATCTGATTTTCTTAATAAAAAATCCTGTTTATTTAAGTTATTCAAAACTGTGAATACTTCATAACATTTAAATTTTATATGTAAATTTCTTTCATATTATTACTTTGATTATATCAAAAATAAATTTGTTACTTTTCTCCAATATTTTTTCACTTAAATCAGTTGGAGTTCAATGTTTAATTCCTAAACAGAATATTGAAATATTTAAGAAAAATACTTTAAACCAAGTAATTAAAATAATTTTTAAAAGAATACAAAATATAATGAAAAATGCTAATTACAATATAAAATTAAGAACTTCATAACATGTTATGATAAAAAGTCAGCAATTAACATGTTTTAACTTTTTTAGCTTTATATCCTTTAACACATTAAGCACACCCTTTTTTATGGACAAAATAGAACAAAAATTATGGCCATTTAATATAATTTTGTCTTTATTGTTGAAAAACATTTTTTTTCTCGATTTTTAAACATGTTGCAGAATTACCCCACCTGGCCCGAATGATTTTTTCCTGATCACATTGTGCCATCTTTTATGCTCATCAGGTTCTAAATAGAACAGAACTTCTATCACATAAATGCATAAATTCTAGGTTGTATAAATGGATTGATACAAATCTAAGAAGAATAGAATAATTACTAAAATAATACACTTACTGTTTTTGTTCACTAACAGAAAATAAAGATTGTTTCTCAAATATTTGTTTTTATGTTTTATATTTCATGATATTGTACCTATTAACATTCATTGTAAAAGAAAAAAAACATTAGAAAAACAAACTGCATATTTCTCGTATTTTATAGATAAAAAAATTAAATTTCTATTAGCATTCTAACATTAAAAAAAATTTACTGGGTTAAGTGCAATTTTCATTTGCACAGGCTATACTCTAACTATTTCCATTATATTTATATGGCTAGCTTGTTTCTCTGAAATAACACAGCACAAATTTTGACGTATAGTGTGTGATGCAGAATGCAACACACATACTATACATTTAACCTGAATTATACATATTTGACCCAGCAATTAACCCAGGCCGTAAAATTGGCCTGGGTTAATTGCTGGGTATGTTGCATATTTGCAATGCACCCAGCAATTAACAATGTGTTGCATAGCTGTAACACATGGCACTTAATGTGTTAAATATACAAAGTGATTGAAGATGGTTGTACAAAACTTCAACAAATTCTCCAAAACAGAATGTGACAAAAATGAATAATCAACAGGGGTAGTAGTACCATGCATTTTCAAGATTGCTTGCAGAGATTATTCCCAATCCCATTCCATTGTTTTGTTTAACAAATACCAACACAATTGGATAAACAAAACAAAAATAAAATCAATGACTGTACAGTATTAATTTTATTAATGTAGTTGTATAGGAAGTTATGCATGAAGAATTAGATGCAACTTTTTTGTTGACCTTGAAAACCATTTTCAAAAATCACTTATATTTCATTAATATTAATGTTTCTGTTTTTGCTTTCAAAATCTCTTTTACCTGTATATCAATGCTAATGTCCAACAGTTATATATTGATTCATTAAAAATGTTATATAGCAATGTTCTATTGTCCATTAAATATTTAAATTGAAATATTTTTGATGAAAATTAATAATACTAAATAATTTAGATTCAGATAACATGATTCCATCCATATATCAATATTTTAAAGAGAAAAAAAACAATGCATTCATAATAAGCCCATGTCCATCAAAATATTGTACTTGATGGAGCAATTTAGATAAATGCTTTTATTATGGAATCACTGTATATATTTCATAGAACAACAGTAAGAAATTATTATATTAACAAAAATTCTTATCAAAAACACTTACATTGATTGATAACTGCTTTACTATTATTGTGTTTGTCAGGATATCATTTAAGGCAAAGATACTTGTATTTTCTAGTTATATCTTTTATTGTTGCATCTAAATAAATACAAATATTTCTTTATATTTATCTGTGCATAAAAATAAAATACAAATAAATTTATACCATAATATACAAACATTTATGTTTAAAATAAAAGAAGAACACGAAATGAGATTCTTAAATCTCATCAANTCATAATAAGCATTTGCTGAGCAGAGTGGAATCAAATATATATAGATTTTAGAGTAAATATCTATATATATATATATATATAGATTTACTTCCTAACTACATGGAATTGCTATATATATAGCATTTCCATGTGGTGAGAAAGGATTTCTGCATCCTTGACATTAACTACATGTTTGTAAAGACTTTCCTTAAAAAAATCTAGACTCATTGCATCAGCTATATTCTCTTTTTCTCTAATTTCCTGCAGTATACAGGCTCTCTTGCACTCTACCACTGCTTCCCTCTGCTAATGCTCTTTTTGGATTTATAAAGATCTATACAAACAATGCAATTAATATCAAGAATGAAGAAACCCTTCCTAGCCCACAGAAATAGCATCTATAGCTTAAAAATACAAGCACATGATAAGTAGAAAGTGCATAAAAGATGTACAGGGATCCTTCACTAAATTCATAATGGTATGCCTCCATTTGTTTGGTTATTGTCACACTGTGTATTTCTTATATATAAGTGAATTTTTTACCATATTTCGCAAACTGTCTGGCATGTCAGTCTTTGTGGGGAGACCACGAAATCAGATATTTCCATATGGTAAAAACCAGCATGCTGGTAACCCTGAGGTTTCTAGCATGTTGGTCTTTCCCAGTTATATGTGGTATGTTGGTCAATCCACAAAAATACAGTATCACATAATGTGATAGTGTCATAACATTTAAACTTTAAACCTTAAGTGTTCTTTTTTAACCATTGATGATTTTCAAATTATTGGAATTTTGTGGATGTGTTCAAATTTAGATTTTGCTATTGAAAATGAGCTAACTAGCTTAAACATACTAAAGAAATTTTGAATTTTTCTGTACTCTAAACAGTAGTGTGAAATTATTTATTTGAAAAACTACCATATTTTACAGCATATAAAATGCTCTTCCATTTTGGCACAGAATATTTAGGAAATGTATTTAAGCTGTCCTGTGAAGGTTACTCCTTTGAAAGTTACTCCAAACATTTTTACTGTATTACAGTTAAAATATTATTATTACTATTAATAGTACTACTACTACGTTTAATTAAACAATAACATTTTTATTTAAGAGTTGGGCTGGATAGAGATTAGTTAACTGTAGCCTACTGAAGGCAGTTAGGAAAATTCTTTAGCCTGTGAGAGATTGCATCTTCACATATATAATGCTTTTTAGCCTTCTTTTTAGACAAAAGTTGTATTGTGTATGCCTTAAAATATGGTAAATTATGAATTAAAAAATAAAATGAAATTATTCATACCATTTTCTTCTCCAAAAAAAACTTGCTGAAATAATGACAGCATATTTTCCTGAAAAAAATGTAAATTGTTAATTTTATCCTTCAATTTAATGAAAGGATAATCATAATTTTACAATAAATAAACTGTATTGAAAAGTCTAACAATTTAAAAATATCATTTATTGAGTGTAAAGCATTTTATCATTCACTTACATATTCATATTTTAGAATTAATTTTTATTCATTCTATAATAATTACCAATATGTAAAACTGGATTTAATTAATTAGTTTGTCTACAAAATGCTTCTACTATATCACCATTAAAAATACACTTAATACGCAGTAAAACTGTTAAATATATAACTACGACAATTACAGTGAATTGCGTTTAGTTGAATCTCTAGATTTTTTAAAATTGTTTTAAAAAGCTGTAGGTTTTTGCTGTTATTTTCTAAAGTTTAGAATGTATATATATTTATGAATAAACTTTAATTTCAGTGTAAGTTTATCATCAGTTATTGGTTATGACAGAACATTCAGAGTAAGAATCTCTGAATGTTATTCTAATTTGTGTTCAAAGATAAAAACAATATGCTAAAATAAATTGATATGAATAGTCTGATTTTTAATTTCTTACCTTTAAATTCTCAAAATAAGTCTACAATAATTAAGAGTTAAGTATTGACTTTAACAACTCCATTATCATTAAAACTATATGGGAAATAAATCACTTTACGTATCTAAAAACTTAAATTAAACAAGTTTTAATTAAAATAAATATTTTTGGAAATTCAACATGCCATCCTGAGATCCACTACAAATAAAAACTGTTTAAAGTGAATATTGAATGATGATAGTGGTAGTAGTGGTAAGAATAAACTTTAAACCAAGTTATCTAATTATTATATATTACTGAACATATATAAACAATTTGTTTGCTATAAATACATATTATTCTATTAGAATATGGCAGAAATTTCATACACTATGTAAATGTTTTCAAAATATATATATAACAATATACAGATAAGAACATGTAATTATTGTATATTATTCGTTATTAAAAAATATATATATAATACTTTAATTCTGCAATTTTTCCTGATAAATATATAATTATATAACTAAATAATATAAATCAAAAACTTCCTTTTCAATCATGTTAGCAATTCAGAATTTATGTCTTGGTGTATAATGAAAATTAATATACATAATATACAGTCAAACTTTCATAGTATGAACTTCTATATAGTGAATTCCTCCATATAACGTATTTTTGCAATGTACACTGATCTTATATATATATATGAGTTCACAATACATATATCTATTATATATATACTAAATTTCTATATAATGAACATTTTTAATTTGTAAGAACTATCAATCATTAAAAGTCAATTACTCTATCTGGATTGAGTTCAAATTTAGGTTCAATTTCAAGTATCAATCTGTAAACCCTTTGTAAAACTGTGGCCAAGGTGTGAGAAATACTGGTTGTTAGCTTTTAAAGTCATCATGTAATCTGCCCCCTTATGGCTACCAGTTGTAGAGAGAGATATTATCTGTCAATGAAGCATTTGGACCTAAATGATTTATAATTAACAATTATCAAAAATGTCAGAAAGGTAATAATTTTGAGAACTGCTAGACTAATTTTTGAGGTTAGTGAGATTTTATTTTATTTAATAAGTCATCTAGTTGAAGTTTGAAGAACTGTTTATATAGTTTAAGCATTACTAAAAAATTAATGTGTTGCTTGAAATTGATAAAAGCTCAAAAAAGAAAGACAATGCAGCAAAGTTTGAAATTCCTGTGAGTAGTTTATCAGCCATACTAACAAATCACAAAGGAATTTTGAAATTAGCCAATGATGCAAGATCTACAGCAAAATGTGCTTAAACCTGTGTTTACATCAATGTTGATGAAGCAGTTTTAATATTCTTACTAAGTGTGAAGCATATTGCAAAGAGAGAACATTTTTCAATTGTTCAATGCAATAAAAAATTACAGATTTGTTTTTTACAAAAATGTAGTTAAACTAATTTTTAAGTATTTTGACATATAAATGTAAAATTACTAAAAATTAAAATTACATTTATGTTATTAGTGTATATTATGTTTATACTAATTTAAATTATATAAAACAATAAAAAAATATTACATTAAAATAATACTTTAGTTACCTAAAAGTGTAATTTCTGTACAACGAAATTTCCCTATAACAAATTTTTTTCAGGATTTAACAACTTCAATATGTAGAAGTTTGACTGTATTTCACGTGGATTTTTTAAATTCTATCAACTTTCTATGAAATTCATTACATTTCTAAATTATCAGAAAACTAGTAATTTTACTGATTTACAATAAACTTTACTGGAAGTAACATTTCAATAATCAATTCTTATTTTCTATGCAGGAAGTGAAATGCTTTCATAGTCATCATTATTGTAATTTAATACAACGTGCACATTTCTATGATGTTAAAAATCCAAATACTATACTATTGTGGCTAATTGTTATCAATATGTTATCTGTATTCTAATCTTTGTATGCTTCTATACAATTTCTGAATAATTAATGGTTTTATAGTTAGCATTTAAATGATTTTTTGTAAAGCTTAAAAAATAAATGTTCATTTTTATATTACAAATTTATTTCTTCACATATTTAACAATTATTTATTTATTTATATCAGAGAACCAGGAAATTATTACACTTACCTATGTCAGTATTTTACTTTTTCACTTTTTGTCTTTATTACAAAGTTTTGCTTTAAAGCTTTTGATATGAAGTGTTGATTTCTTTTTTTAATTTCTGAAATTAAAGTATACATAAATATAATATTAAAAATATTTATTATTTTGGATATTTTATCAAAACAATTAAATAAAATTTGTTAAACAAAAAGTTTCATTGAACACTGAAGATTATTGCTATTTTGTTAAGTCTTTAAATATTTAAAGTTAATTCTTTTAAATAAATATTATAACTGTATATTAACTTAGGTTCATATGAATTTGATATATTCAAACATTTTAGAATATAAATAAACACAGATAATAATAATCTTGTGATGTTATCAAAATATAAAAGAAAATATTTAATGTATATTCACGTATTTACAAGTACTCTTGACAATTTCAACTTATTAACATCAGGCAATAATTAAATTAAGTAAAATGTATAGAACTATTTATCATTAAAAGAGTTCATACAACTCAAGAAATTAAAATCATCCAGAAACTTTGGACTTTATTAAGTGAGATACAGTCCGCTCACCTTAAAACAAACATCGATAAAGCAAACTCTCACATTAAATGAAATTTTGCAGTTGCCTTGGCAAAATACCATTGTCACAACATTAATTTTCACACAATAGAGCAAACAAAAATTTTACCAGAATTTGTTAAACCAAACAGAAATTGCTTTCACAACTCCCAAGAAATAACCTTAACTCCAATAATAATTTTATTATTCATACAGAAAAGCATAAAAAGCAAAGTGGTACTGTAATAAATGTTCTATTTTGAGTATAATAGATTTTTTTCTAGTAGGCAAAGACAGTTTGACCTCAGATTGTAGAGTAATTCAAATATCTGATTTTAGTGGGCCATTCTACTGTACTCAAAAAATAGGAGTTAAAGTTTAAAGATGTTTACCCCTTTAAATGGATGCTGACCCATGCAAACATGTGATTGTTTATATATGGTGAATGCATATAGTGAAGCTAGGTTTGGCTACTTTGTGCCAAATTTGGATCCTTTTTTTCACTCTTTTGGCACTAAAAAATATATTCTATTTTTTCAAACCATCTTCAACAGTAAAAAAATCACAAATTTCTTTTATCTTCGTTTTGTTTGACCACTCTGATATACCGCTCTACATTTAAACAACAAATACAGTCTCCTCCTCATTTTGTCTGATTTGAAAATCATTTAGATCATTAAATTTATTTAGTGAATTAATGCAAACTATTACAATTTAGAGATTTTGATTGCTTATTAATCCTTAGCTCCATAAATTTTACAACCTTGACCTTAACCCTGAAAACTATTAATATGAATTTTCAATAAAGCAAACTACTGTTTCCCTAGCGATTCATATTAACATAAGTTGATTGTATATAAAAATGCCTTCAAATTTATTTTTAAACTGGATTAAAATAGTCTAGTTTACATGCATTTTAATGAACTTAAGTGGTTCAGCAGGCATGATATGCCTGCTGTACCTTATATACATATATGAATATATACGTAAAAAACATCTCAAAGCCCAATGTTTTAATCATAAACCTAATAATTGCATTCAAATTATATCAAGCTAAAAATAGCCCTGTTTAATATGGCAATAGTTTGGTTTATGATCCTTGAATATGTATATATAAGATATGTTTGATGAAAAATTTCAAAAGAAAGAGTTCTAAAACATTATATATAACATAAATTTTTGATGTTTATTAATAAAATAATTTAATCAATAAATTATTTATTAACATATTAAAATATACCTCTATCTATCAAGGATACAAAAAATAAAATAAAACTAATTAACATAAATTTTCATATTGATATACAGTAGAGCTTCGAAAACTCGGCCTAATGTGGACTGAAGGGTGGCCGAGTTTGTGAAAATGCCAGGTTATCGGGAATGGGGTTAAAAAAATAAGTATGAGTGTTTCCTCAGAAAATACTGTACTGTACTTGTATGTATTGTTTGCTTGAGAATACAACAGAGAATAAACTGCCCAAATACCCTTAAACAAAGGAAAAGTACGACCTTTATGAAGGCATAGAGCCTTTACTACATGAAAACGAAAATTAATGAATACACTGTGTACAGTAATTTACCTGATAAGACTGACCCCAGAAAAATACTTTATGAGGCATAAAGCTGTCTATAATGAAAATTAATTAACTAAGGATTTTTTGCCCTGCCAGGGTGTGGCCGAGTTATCCAGAGTGCCAAGTTTTCAAGGCTCTACTGTAATTAAAAAAAATAAACTCAAATAAATTTTTTCAGTTAAATATATAAAAATAGCTTTCACAAAGTTTATATATTTTTATATGAAAGCCTTGGAGAGAACTGGTAGAACATACAAGCCAAAAAATTCATTTTTTAAATCTTAAACTATCTTACATTTAAAAGAAGATACAATGTCGAATTTGGTGTTTGACATTCTTTACAAAAGATGAGAAACAAAGGAATTATACCTTATTCTTATAATGAATATTTAACTTGTTTAGTCCAATTTCAAGCCTTAAAGCTATATAGTTTCATAATGTAACTTAAAATTGAAAAGATAGAATTCAGAAAACTAAATACCAAGAATGAAAAATCAATGTACTAGTTCTCTTTTGATATTGTTGTACTGTACATTGTTTTGCAACTAGCAGGAACTTATCTGCACCAATACAAATTAATAAGATTCAAGTCAGATAAAATACAATAGATTAAACCTGAACGAAGTTGCAATGTAAGATAGGTTTCGTTATTTTTTCCTTCTGAATTATATTTTGAAGGGTCTGAAATTTGTGAGAATTGTACAAATGAATTAAATTGTAAAAATTCTTTTGTAAGTGTTAGTAAGATTTTTAATAGAAATCTACGTAATTATTATCTAATTGCATAATCTGGAATTGAATAATCCAACTTGAAAAGTATTCCTAAAAATTGGATTTAAATCTTCTCAACTTTATCCAGAAATTTTGTGCCCAAATTGGCACAAAATAAAACTAATTGTTGAAGCAAAGATTAAAAATGACAAAAATAAAAAAGAATTACTTTATTTCAAGGTTTAAAACATAGAAAAAGTACACTTTTCTATGGAAGAATTAGGATAAGTAGGGCAAATTTAAAATAGCAAAAATCATCACTTGGAGAAAGATATTTGATAAAAAGCAGTCTATAGTATAATTAATTGATAAAATATTCTCACATTAACAAAGAAAGGAAAGATAGTTAATTTAGTCTCTACTTCAATTTTATTTATTTATTTTTTAATGTGAAAATTTCTTACATAAAAAAAATTGTCACTCATTATAATCTTGGATAGGTTATGGTCTTTATATTTTAACATTTACAATTAGTGAATATATGGAAATAATTTTTAAAAGAATACAAAATATAATGAAAAATGCTAATTACAATATAAAATTAAGAACTTCATAACATGTTATGATAAAAAGTCAGCAATTAACATGTTTTAACTTTTTTAGCTTTATATCCTTTAACACATTAAGCACACCCTTTTTTATGGACAAAATAGAACAAAAATTATGGCCATTTAATATAATTTTGTCTTTATTGTTGAAAAACATTTTTTTTCTCGATTTTTAAACATGTTGCAGAATTACCCCACCTGGCCCGAATGATTTTTTCCTGATCACATTGTGCCATCTTTTATGCTCATCAGGTTCTAAATAGAACAGAACTTCTATCACATAAATGCATAAATTCTAGGTTGTATAAATGGATTGATACAAATCTAAGAAGAATAGAATAATTACTAAAATAATACACTTACTGTTTTTGTTCACTAACAGAAAATAAAGATTGTTTCTCAAATATTTGTTTTTATGTTTTATATTTCATGATATTGTACCTATTAACATTCATTGTAAAAGAAAAAAAACATTAGAAAAACAAACTGCATATTTCTCGTATTTTATAGATAAAAAAATTAAATTTCTATTAGCATTCTAACATTAAAAAAAATTTACTGGGTTAAGTGCAATTTTCATTTGCACAGGCTATACTCTAACTATTTCCATTATATTTATATGGCTAGCTTGTTTCTCTGAAATAACACAGCACAAATTTTGACGTATAGTGTGTGATGCAGAATGCAACACACATACTATACATTTAACCTGAATTATACATATTTGACCCAGCAATTAACCCAGGCCGTAAAATTGGCCTGGGTTAATTGCTGGGTATGTTGCATATTTGCAATGCACCCAGCAATTAACAATGTGTTGCATAGCTGTAACACATGGCACTTAATGTGTTAAATATACAAAGTGATTGAAGATGGTTGTACAAAACTTCAACAAATTCTCCAAAACAGAATGTGACAAAAATGAATAATCAACAGGGGTAGTAGTACCATGCATTTTCAAGATTGCTTGCAGAGATTATTCCCAATCCCATTCCATTGTTTTGTTTAACAAATACCAACACAATTGGATAAACAAAACAAAAATAAAATCAATGACTGTACAGTATTAATTTTATTAATGTAGTTGTATAGGAAGTTATGCATGAAGAATTAGATGCAACTTTTTTGTTGACCTTGAAAACCATTTTCAAAAATCACTTATATTTCATTAATATTAATGTTTCTGTTTTTGCTTTCAAAATCTCTTTTACCTGTATATCAATGCTAATGTCCAACAGTTATATATTGATTCATTAAAAATGTTATATAGCAATGTTCTATTGTCCATTAAATATTTAAATTGAAATATTTTTGATGAAAATTAATAATACTAAATAATTTAGATTCAGATAACATGATTCCATCCATATATCAATATTTTAAAGAGAAAAAAAACAATGCATTCATAATAAGCCCATGTCCATCAAAATATTGTACTTGATGGAGCAATTTAGATAAATGCTTTTATTATGGAATCACTGTATATATTTCATAGAACAACAGTAAGAAATTATTATATTAACAAAAATTCTTATCAAAAACACTTACATTGATTGATAACTGCTTTACTATTATTGTGTTTGTCAGGATATCATTTAAGGCAAAGATACTTGTATTTTCTAGTTATATCTTTTATTGTTGCATCTAAATAAATACAAATATTTCTTTATATTTATCTGTGCATAAAAATAAAATACAAATAAATTTATACCATAATATACAAACATTTATGTTTAAAATAAAAGAAGAACACGAAATGAGATTCTTAACTCTAATCAAAATTCAAATAACTTTTTATAGAAACATGGAAAATGCCATATTTCATTAGTGTAGTTTGCTTGAAAATTAGTTTTTAAGAACTCTAAATTATTCACTTAAAAATATATCTTGTCATATCAACTGTTTTATTTTCTTTAAATTAAATGTAAACAATGCATAATATTTAAATGTTTTTGGGCTCATTCTTACCTTCAGAAATTCTAAAATAATATATTTAAAACAAATTCCAACAGATTATTTAATTATCTAAAAATATTTTGGTCAATATTATTTTTATAATACAAATTTTATCACATTCAAACTCACTAGTTCAGAATTCCAAAACGCTTAAGTAGCAAAATCATCTGGTCCCTTTAGCAATGGATTAATCATCTTCCTAAAAAATTATATATTGAAATCATTAAAAATATAAATGAACAATAAAAAATTACTGTATAACAATATTTCAGAAATAATACAAATAAAAATTATCAAATGATAATTTTACTAGTTAAAATTAAATGGTATTTTAAAAGTTTAAAATAATTTGTTTTAAAGTAGACATATTTCTATATTATACAGAAGTAATTGTTTCATTACTTTTTAATTAATTTGATGTAAAATGGGCAAACAACCATTGAGTTTGAAAAGTAAATCTACAATTCTCTTAATTTTGTATAAAAATCAATGCTATAACAATTATTTAACAAGAATTTCATAAATTGTAATTAACAAAATACAGAAAACAAATGAAAACAATGTATATCTTTTCAATGATTTACTATAAATGATAACAGAATATATATTTATCAGAAGTAAAAAAAAAGACAGAAATATTGAAATCTAATGTAAAAATCACTCATTGCTATCAATAAATTTCATATAAATTTAATTTAATCTTTTGAATCAAACAATATTTTATTATATACATTGAATATATTTTCAATATAGTTCTCATGGATTGATAGTAGAGCTCAACACAATACAATTGTCACAAGTATCATAATAAGCATTTGCTGAGCAGAGTGGAATCAAACCCTGATTCATTTGAGCCTGGTTCAAGGATTGTGGCCAACTCACGGCCATCATACAAAAAAATAAAGAAACAGTCATATAAATAACTCTATTATTTAATATCTAATTATTAAATTAGCCTTTTAACTAAGGTGACCAACTTTTTTACAATGAAAAGGAGGACACTAATAAATTGAAGGAAAAAATAACGTAAATAAAAAACATTTTATTCATTGCAACAATAATACACTATAACAATCTCTACTGCATGCATAGGTGCCATGTCGTGTTTCGATAAGAAGTAAACAAAGCCATTTGCGCGCACTCTCTCTCTCTCTCAAGGTCTCCCATGCAAAGAGCATGTGTCTCATAATTGCATCTCATCGCACTGTACAGAGCCTTGATAAATCATCATGTTAAATACAAATGTCATATCACATCACACACAATGGATTGGTTCGGCATTGATCGAATACGGAGATTTACAGATTAGTCTTCAAATATCAAAAAGGAGGACACTTTTCGAGGGAGGACAGAACTTACAAAAGGAGGACAATTAATCACCTTATTTTAACAGCCCAATAATTCAACAGATCATCTGAATGTGATTAAAGAATTGTCGAATCTCACATCAAAGCAGGAACTAGGCAAATACACATATCTATAACATGTTTTTGAAAAACAATAGCATGAGGAATTGGGTGTCATCCAAATCCTACAAAGGATTGCTTCAATCTGATAAATAATGATTATGAAGATTACTAAGCCAATTAACTTACTCAGTAATACCTATCCAGTTTATTTTTGTACCATTCTTCCCTTATTGAATAATGAAAATCTCTTTTATCAGAATCTATCCTGACCATCTTATTGACTTTTGAAACACAGTTTATAGACCAAAACCACCTCTATAGATGGTTTACCTGATACTCTATACATGGTTTTCCTGATTCAAAGTTAACCTCAATTCATGGTTCAAATATGTGCCATTTTGCACTCTTTGTATGGTAAAATTTGAACTGTGGTTACTGTTTGTTCCTGATTGGTTGCATATATGAATATCTCTCATGTACGAGTTCTGAACTATGGAAATTTGATCACTCTTTGTATGACCCTTATTTAAGATCTTTTGAATTTAATCAGAATGTTAATGGGTAAGAAATGAAATATCCTGACAGGGCAACACTGACAAAAACAGAAAATAACTGGGAGAGAGCTGACAACACTAATTTTGAATGTTCTCGGCAGACAGAAAGGGCAAACTCAAATCAGTGCAATCCCAATTTTAATAATATATTTTTGATTTTTGAATTTTATTTGAAGATTAGAAGAATTCTTGTTTAATGTATTTCAAATACCACTTTTTTGGGCTTGAAACCTTCTAAGTGAACAGAAAGAATGAACCCAACCATGTGGCCAGCACAATCCACAATCAATTTGTTTCAAATAATATTTATGAATTTTGTTGTAAAATTTCATGTAATTTCATAATGTAAATTATTTCTAGAATATTACGCAATACATTCCAACACATTTATTGGCTCCTTCTCATTCATTATCCCTTTTCAGTATATATTATCAATTTTTCATTAAAATAAAATTATTACTATTTTGAAAACATAATAATCTATATAAATTTAATGTATTTCAACATTAAAGTGTTTTTCACATATTTTAATTTTTATTATTTTCACGAAATAATATTTATTTGTATTGTAGAATATCTTTTTGGAATGTTCTCATGTACAAAAATTGATAATCATCAAGCATAAATATCTATACAAAATAATTTGTGATATTGAAAATGAGAGAAAAGTGAATCAAAGATAGCAAGAATATATAATAAACAACATATAATCCTCCAATAAGATCATGTACAAATCTGTACCATTCTTCATATAAGAAGTTTATACGTATATATACTTTATTACATACAAAGTATTCTAGATCTAATAGAGAGATAATCATAATAAAATATTATCCATAAAAAAACTAAAAGCCATTCATTATTATTATTGCATTAAGCTTTTCAAACTTTACAATCTCTCTGTTTATAAAATAAGTATCATTATAGTTTATCTCTATGGAAATAATATGACAACATGTTATTTGATATATGATCTATTCTAAAAAACCTTTTGAAATTTAGTAATATATTAAAACAAAAAAAAATTGCAAATTTGTATAAAGTATCGTGTTTATATAAGTTATAAATCTTACAGAAACTTCAATAACACCAATTTAATTTTGAGGTTAATAAGATCGTTAACATTGAAGATAAGTTTACAATGTTACTGAACAAGGAAATTTATGGACTAAAAATCTTTCATTTCAATCTTGCAAATGAAAAACTGTTGAAAATAACTATCTATTTTCACGTGTAGACAGTTTCCTGATTATTCTTAGTAAGAAACTTCTTTTACTTTATAATAAATTATGACATCTTTGAATATAGCTTACAAGCTCCTGCAGTTTCACAAACCACTGTTAACTGTCACCTTTCTAGAGAAGAATAAAACTTTCATTTGTTACAATCAGTTATACAATTTGAAAACTACAATTTTCTTGTCTTCAAATTTAAAACACAATTAAATGATAAATTTTAATTATCTTATAAATTATCTTAATATCTTATTAATAAAATATCTTATATAATAAATCTTATAAATGGAATATCTCATAAATGAAACTTGTTGTTCCATTTATGATGTATTCCATTTTCGTATGTTCTAGCCTGATGATGATCTATTGAGTGGATCGAAAACGTTCGTTTTTAATAAACTCCCTCAGCAAATAATAAGGTGTTGATTACGTAATTTATCTTATAAAGTTTGATTTCCAGTAAAATTAAACACAAACAACTGAATATAATCTATTTACGTAATTTCTGTTTTATAGAATTAAATAAACACTTCAAAAACATTCAAATAAATTAGGTTTTCCTTATTTCAAATTAAATCATAATTATATAATATGATTAAATAATTATTTTTCTCGCCATAATTCAATCCTAATAAACTTACTTATAAAAATATTAAATTATTATGAAACATCTAAATTTAATTAAGAAATAAATCTTTGATTATTTAATATTTATGTCAAATATATAATAATTTCTATATTCTAACTTACTAGATACTCGTATAATTATTACATCATATACACTATTTATATACATTACACAATCTTCTATTGTTTTGATATTAAAAATAAAATAATCATCATCACTCTGTACTCAAAATCATTTAAGTTTTTCTAGTTTTACTTTTATTTTTCTTAATCTGCCTTTATAACATCCTGTTTACATCTAGCACTTCCTTTACTCTCTTCCATTAATTTGATACTACAAATATCTTTCCATTATTTTGAAAATTTTAATACAACTAAATTACGTTTGTTCATTCTCTTTAATTCAAACTTTATTTCTTGTATCAGTTTATACAGAAAAACAAGAGTTAATTTTCAATCTATACAAAAATACATAATATTAGTTATTACAAGGAATGACTATATAATTAAGTAACTAAGCATATAATTGTCTTCATTCTTAAAATTAACAACACATTGACATACATGGCACAGATTAAAATTGAGGATAAAACATTAATGATAATACATACATAACTGACAATAGACCAATAACAATAGAATATAATGCACATAGAGCAGAAAACACAATTTAAATATCATTAAAAACTATTTTTAAAAATTTTTTAAACTAATTTTACATTTAAATTACTTTATAATTTAAATATATTAAAAACTACAATAAAACTATTAAATGACACCATCAAAACCTTCAAAATTTTGAAGGTTTTGGTGGTGTTATTTAGTAAACTGTTAAATTAGTCTAACAATATATGAAAAAAGTTTAAGACAATAGTGAATAAATTAATTAATTGGTATCAAAACTTTCAGGCATCACTTAACAATTACATACACACTCAATTATAATAGATTTAGTATGTTGTACAGAACCAGATTTAATTTCAATTAAAAACTTTTTCAATATAAAGGGAGTTTGTTTTTATGTTTCAATACTAATTCTGAATCAGATAAGAATGTGAGAGCTTAACTACTATTAATACCATTAATAAAAAATGAGATTTATGAATAAAATTTAAATACAAGATTAATTTAAAAAATACAATCTATTCATATTATCTCTCAAAAACTTTTTTAATAATACATAATATTTTCCTACGTTACTCAGTTATTGTAATGTTTTTTATTTTAAAAAGAAGTTTATATCTATCAAATAATTTTTTAAGTGATTGAATTTCTGATATATATCAAATTATATCAAACATAGTAATTTCAGATGATTTTATCTGTTTACTGTATCAAATATAAAGAATTATAAGTTACAATCCTTAAATGTTT